AATTTATTTAATTTAATCATCTGAAAATTACCAGAGTTCTAGTAGGGACTGAACCCTACACAATCCTGAAGAATAGAGAATTTTATTTCCATTTTTTAGTAGTAGCAGGTCCACCCGTACGCCATCAGACAATCAAAATTTGGTAAAAACGAAAATAAAAATTTATTTCTTCCAAATTTATTTAATTTAATCATCTAAAACTTACCAGAGTTCTAGTAGGGACTGAACCCAAAACAATCCTGAAGAATAGAGAATTTTATTTCAATTTTTTAGTAGTAGCAGGTTCACCCGAACGCCATCAGACAATCAAAATTGGTAAAAAGGAAAATAAAAATTTATTTCTTCCAAATTTAACAAATCTAATCATCTGAAAATTACCAGAGTTCTAGTAGGGACTGAACCCTACACAATCCTGGAGAATAGAGAATTTTATTTCAATTTTTTAGTAGTAGCAGGTCCACCAGTACGCCATCAGACAATCATAATTTGGAAAAAACGAAAATAAAAATTTATTTCTTCCAATTTTATTTAATTTAATTATCTGAAACTTACTAGAGTTCTAGTAGGGACTAAACCCTACACAATCCTGAAGAATAGAGAATTTTATTTCAATTTTTTAGTAGTAGCAGGTCCACCCGGACGCCATCAGACAATCATAATTTGGTAAAAACGAAAATAAAAATTTATTTCTTCCAAATTTATTTAATTTAATCATCTGAAACTTACCAGAGTTCTAGTAGGGACTAAACCCTACACAATCCTGAAGAATAGAGAATTTTATTTGAATTTTTTAGTAGTAGCACCCTCACCCGAACGCCATCAGACAATCATAATTTGATAAAAAGATACACAAAAATTTATTTCATCTAAATTTATTTAATGTAATCATCTGAAAATTACCAGAGTTCTAGTAGGGACTAAACCCTACACAATCCTGAAGAATAGAGAATTTTTTTCCATTTTTTAGTAGTAGCACCCTCACCCGAACGCTATCAGACAATCAAAATTGGTAAAAACGAAAATAAAAATTTATTTCTTCCAAATTTAACAAATCTAATCATCTAAAAATTACCAGAGTTCTAGGAGGGACTGAACCCTACACAATCCTAAAGAATAGAGAATTTTATTTCAATTTTTTAGTAGTAGCAGGTCCACCCGTACGCCATCAGACAATCAAAATTTGGTAAAAATGATAATAAAAATTTATTTCTTCCAAATTTATTTAATTTAATCAACTGAAAATTACCAAAGTTCTAGTCGGGACTGAACCCTACACAATCCTGAAGAATAGAGCATTTTATTTCAATTTTTTAGTAGTAGCAGGTTCACCCGTACGCCATCAGACAATCAAAATTTGGTAAAAACGAAAATAAAAATTTATTTCTTCCAAATTTATTTAATTTAATCATCTGAAACTTACCAGAGTTCTAGTAGGGACTGAACCCTACACAATCCTGAAGAATAGAGAATTTTATTTCAATTTTTTAGTAGTAGCAGGTCCACCCGTACGCCATCAGACAATCATAATTTGATAAAAAGGAAAACAAAAATTTATTTTATTCAAATTTATTTAATCTAATCATCTGAAAATTACTAGAGTTCTAGTAGGGACTGAACCCTACACAATCCTGAAGAATAGAGAATTTTATTTAAATTTTTTAGTAGTAGCAGGTCCACCCGTACGCCATCAGACAATCAAAATTTGGTAAAAATGATAATAAAAATTTATTTCTTCCAAATTTATTTAATTTAATCAACTGAAAATTACCAAAGTTCTAGTCGGGACTGAACCCTACACAATCCTGAAGAATAGAGCATTTTATTTCAATTTTTTAGTAGTAGCAGGTTCACCCGTACGCCATCAGACAATCAAAATTTGGTAAAAACGAAAATAAAAATTTATTTCTTCCAAATTTATTTAATTTAATCATCTGAAACTTACCAGAGTTCTAGTAGGGACTGAACCCTACACAATCCTGAAGAATAGAGATTTTTATTTCCATTTTTTAGTAGTAGCACCCTCACCCGAACGCCATCAGACAATCATAATTTGATAAAAAGATACACAAAAATTTATTTCTTTTAAATTTATTTAATTTAATCATCTGAAACTTACCAGAGTTCTAGTAGGGACTGAACCCTATACAATCCTGAAGAATAGAGAATTTTATTTCAATTTTTTAGTAGTAGCAGGTCCACCCGTACGCCATCAGACAATCATAATTTGATAAAAAGGAAAACAAAAATTTATTTTATTCAAATTTATTTAATCTAATCATCTGAAAATTACTAGAGTTCTAGTAGGGACTGAACCCTACACAATCCTGAAGAATAGAGATTTTTATTTCCATTTTTTAGTAGTAGCACCCTCACCCGAACGCCATCAGACAATCATAATTTGATAAAAAGATACACAAAAATTTATTTCTTTTAAATTTATTTAATTTAATCATCTGAAACTTACCAGAGTTCTAGTAGGGACTGAACCCTACACAATCCTGAAGAATAGAGATTTTTATTTCCATTTTTTAGTAGTAGCACCCTCACCCGAACGCCATCAGACAATCATAATTTGATAAAAAGATACACAAAAATTTATTTCTTCCAAATTTATTTAATTTAATCATCTGAAAATTACCAGAGTTCTAGTAGGGACTGAACCCTACACAATCCTGAAGAATAACCAATTTTATTTCAATTTTTTAGTAGTAGCAGGTCCACCCGTACGCCATCAGACAGTCATAATTTGATAAAAAGGAAAACAAAAATTTATTTTATCTAAACTTATTTAATCTAATCATCTGAAAATTACTAGAGTTTTAGTAGAGACTGAACCCTACACAATCCTGAAGAATAGAGATTTTTATTTCCATTTTTTAGTAGTAGCACCCTCACCCGAACGCCTTCAGACAATCATAATTTGATAAAAAGATACACAAAAATTTATTTCATCTAAATTTATTTAATGTAATCATCTGAAAATTACCAGAGTTCTAGTAGGGACTGAACCCTACACAATCCTGAAGAATAGAGAATTTTTTTCCATTTTTTAGTAGTAGCACCCTCACCCGAACGCTATCAGACAATCAAAATTGGTAAAAACGAAAATAAAAATTTATTTCTTCCAAATTTATTTAATCTAATCATCTGAAAATTACTAGAGTTCTAGTAGGGACTGAACCCTACACAATCAAGAAGAATAGAGAATTTTATTTCCATTTTTTAGTAGTAGCACCCTCACCCGAACGCTATCAGACAATCAAAATTGGTAAAAACGAAAATAAAAATTTATTTCTTCCAAATTTATTTAATTTAATCATCTGAAAATTATTAGAGTTCTAGTAGGGACTGAACCCTACACAATCTTGAAGAATAGAGAATTTTATTTCCATTTTTTAGTAGTAGCAGGTCCACCCGTACGCCATCAGACAATCAAAATTTGGTAAAAACGATAATAAAAATTTATTTCATCCAAATTTATTTAATGTAATCATCTGAAAATTACCAGAGTTCTAGTAAAGATTGAATACTACACAATCCTGAAGAATAGAAAATTTTATTTGAATTTTTTAGTAGTAGCACCCTCACCCGAACGCCATCAGACAATCAAAATTGGTAAAAACGAAAATAAAAATTCATTTCTTCCAAATTTATTTAATTTAATCATCTGAAACTTACCAGAGTTCTAGTAGGGACTGAACCCTACACAATCCTTAAGAATAGAGAATTTTATTTCCATTTTTTAGTTGTAGCACCCTCACCCGAACGTCATCAGACAATCATAATTTGATAAAAAGATACACAAAAATTTATTTTATCCAAATTTATTTAATCTAATCATCTGAAAATTACCAGAGTTCTAGTAGGGACTGAATCCTACACAATCCTGAAGAATAGAGAATTTTATTTTAATTTTTTAGTAGTAGCAGGTTCACCCGTACGCCATCAGACAATCAAAATTTGGTAAAAACGAAAATTAAAATTTATATCATCCAAATTTATTCAATCTAATCATCTGAAAATTACCAGAGTTCTAGTAGGGACTGAACCCGACTGAACACTAGCATGTGTATCTTAACACTTGTAAATAATTATTCTAAAATAAAAAAGTATACAATAGGTATATATTGTATTGAGGAAGCTAAATGATCATGAAATGATCAACTTGTTAATAATTGTTGTACTATTATTGGCTACTAAGGATAAATAATGTATTTTATTATTATTACAATGAACTTTTCATTTGTTTAAACAATTTATTATTGCTAATTTATAACAATTCCAAAAACAAAGTAGAGAAAAGGAAATTTCTATAAATTTGTCAGCTGATATTGATATTATTTAATGATAAATTAATAAATTAAATGAAATATTAAATTTAATTTGCTATAGTTATTATTTAACATTGTTTAAACAATTAATTGTTGTTATTTATTAACTATTTTTCAATGACACCTAGAAAGATGCAGTTTTTTTCTAATTTTGCAATTTTCGCAGCTACTTATAATATAACCGATAAATGTTAAATGTCAAATCGCTATTTTAGAAATTGTTTAAATAACTAATTGTTGTTATTTATTAACTTTTTTCCTATTGCCCCCAAAAAAATGCAGTTTTTTTCTAATTTTGCAATTTTTGGACCTTTGTATAAAAACCGATAAATGTTAAGTGTCAAATTATTTCGATATTTTAGAAATTGTTTAAACAAATAATTGTTGTTATTTTATTTTTATAAAAGGAAAATTTTAATTAAACATTTTTACGATCTATTATTTTTAAAATTATTGATAATTTCATTTACAAAAGTCAGTGAGAGGTTAGCCGCGCGCGAATTGTTGCTAGCTATATTATTAAATTTTATCACTTTCTTGATGGATAAAAATTTCAATAAATTGTCACAATTAGTAAAATTTACATTTTAGAGCAAAAGCTGCTGGGTCCATACAATGTGAACACAATACGCACGTGCTTAACTTGTACTCTATTTTTGTAACCAAGAGAATCAGACGTGTCGGCGTTGGCGAATTTTAAAAACACTCAGTAGCTCGTTATAGTAACACAGTGAAACCTAAACAAATTTGCTTTATTTATTTATTTACCAAAATTTACGCCAGAATATTGATTATTTCGAAATTTTCGTTTATAATTTTCTTTATTCTCATTAAATTCAAAAGTGGAGGATAAAAAAATTTTATTCAAATTCCCTCATCATCAATTGACGAGTGATTGATATCAACAAACAAGTGTCTCTTTATAATCAAACTCAACAAATTTTTTATCCTCAACATTTGGTAAGTTTCAGTAAATTTTTTTTTTTTTTTTTGGGAAATTCTATTTATCACTGATGAAAACTATTTTAGTACGTGTCAAGGTCGTGTAAATCTGAACCTGGTTTATTTTCGGGTGTGAAAATAATTTCTACTTGGACAATAGAAAAAAATCGTGTTCGAAACTATTCTTTTTTCTTTATTGCAAAATTTCTCAGTAACATTTTGTCTATAATTAATTCTTCGGTTGACTTGCATAATATTGGCCTAAAATATACATATACATTTTTAAAAGTGGAAAAAATTAATCTTTCTGCAAAAGTAATATCAAAAATTTATTTATTTATTTATTTGATGGGGGAAAAAATTCACAACTTTTATAGAAATTAAAAATTTTTTTTTCCAGCCAATAGAAGAATATTTTAATAACAAATATGGCAGTACCAACAGTGGGTATAAGAATGGCAGATATGCTAACAACACCAGTGACATCAATTCTTCTACCAAATATCTCCTATACACCGAGTGCAGAATTTTTTGAAACTGAAGTCTGCATTTCAAATGGTTTTGATTTATTGAATTTTTTGGATATTCAAGGTTCAAATAATTTATCATCGAATAATCAAGAGCATGGGAAAAAATTTGGTTTAACTGATTCAGAAAAAGAGGAAATAATACGTGTATTATGGAAAATAGAATCATCATTCACTGGATCATCGTCAATTGAAGATAGAGATATGTTTATGGTGGCAATTAATAATGCCGTGGCAATGACAAAGAAATATTTTTCAAAAATGACACCAAACGATAGAGAAGAGATATTCGATAAAATAACAGGCATTAAAAATATTTGCTCACATCGAATGAAACTGAGAATTGCTCAAACTGAAGCTCAAATTATTTCAATAAGAAATGAAATTGAATCGAAATCAACGCGCTTTGCAAATATTTGCTCGAGATCGTTGAAAATTTGTCAAATGGTAAAATTATATTTCAACTTTATTATTATTATTTAAATAATTAATATTAATTTATTCAATTAGTTAATTAAAATTATAAATTATATTTTTAATAATATTGTTGATAATGTGGATCATGAAAAATATTTTTAATTTAAATATTATTTAATTTTAATATTATTAGTGGAAGGTTTTTAATGTTGAGCGCTGTGCGGCTTTGTGCGACGAGTGGGGGCAACGAGAGCGAGAGAGACATTTTCATACTTCTCTCTCGCTCTCATTGCCCCCACTCCGTTGCGTAAAGACGCGCGCCTCTCACTCGCCTCTTCTTTAACTCCCCAACATTGTCGATGATAATTTTGATTTAATTTTCAGATTTTTAGCATTTTTGGTTTCTTTTTCCTCAAGCTCTCAACTGAGCCTTCAGATTATGAAACTACAACTTTTTACAATATAACCAGTATGCTTGGATTTGCTCTATCCGCATGTTTCTTAATGATTTCAATACCGAGCAATATTAATGAACTTGATCCCACTGTCTGCTCAATTGTAAGTTATGCAAAAATTAATTGTTAATTAATTTTTGATAATTTAAAAATTTTTTCTTTTTTTTTTATCTAAAATTATAATGAATGATGAAATATATTCCTTATATTTCATTCATTATTTTCAAAAATATGTAAAAGAAGGGTTGACATTAAATTTTTCTTTTCAATTTTAGGATACCATTTTTTGTATATTATGGACAATTTTAACATGCATCTCCACTTCTTTATTACTATGGCACATGGAAGTGAAAAAAAATGGCCCCTCTATTGCTGTGGTAATTTATAATTTTCAGAAAAAAATATAACAAGAATATTTTGAAAAGAAATTTAATATTAAAAATTCAATTTTTTCATTTAATAGAAAATTTTTCATTTCAATTAAAAAAAAAATCTAAAAAACATTAAAATTTCCTTTCTTTAATTTCAGATTTTTGGATTTATTGCAATGGGATGTTATGTAGGAAATGCGCTTGTTTTAATTCGAACGTGTTATAAGAGATGATAAATAAAAAAAAAATGAAAAAACTTTTTTTTTTTAAATTTCAAATAAATAAAAATTTCTAACATAAAATAGTTTCTTAATCGTTAAAATACCTATATTCAAAATCCATTTTTCTTTTTTTTTATAAGAAAAAAATTATTTACAGGAAAAAGTAAAAAATAAATTATTAATACATTTTTAATAATATTCCATATGTATATATATAACAAAAAGTAAAATAAGTTTAAAAATAATTCAGTTGCTTTGAATACATATAGATATTTAGTTTCATAATCAAAATCCCCCCACTCATAACGCAAAAGACATTGAGAGAAGTTTATGCGTATTTTTAGAGAAGTAAAAAAACCTTGTAGTTTTAGTTATGAACCGTTGTTGATACTTTCGAGAAGAAAAAATTTTTTAATACAATAAAAAAGAGGAATTAAATGACAAAGGTAGATTTTTTTAATTCTAAAGAAAATTGGTTCCATTTTCACTAATTATTTATACAAACATCAGCAATCATTAAACAATATGTCGAACTTTTAATTTGTTTACTAACAAAACATTTTTTTTATTTGTAATTTTAAATTCATTTTTTTTTTATTCATTTTTTATTTTTTTTATTCATTTTTTTTTTATTTTTTATTTTTATTTTTTTTTTTTAATTTTCTTTCACAAAAAGAATAATTATTTTTCACGATTTTATATATTTAATTAATAATTAATATAATGGTATTTTTTATTATTTTTAGTGAAAATGAATAATTCACGAAGGAAATGAAATAGAGAAGAAAAATTTTTTTAATTAAACTTAAAGACTTATTTTTTTTAAAAAAAATCTCATTTTCATTAATTTTTTGAATTGCAATGGATAATTCATTAGTACTGCCTTATAATGAAGAGCAACAATCATCAGTCGCAATCTTTAAGAATAAAAAACAAGAACAAAAAAATTTGTCACTCTTCAATGACAATGAATTATCGGAAATAATTATTATTATTGACAATAATTTAGAAAATAATAAATTTGCTACCGACATTTCTCCGCACGCTGACGAATCAAAAATTAAATTTCATTTCTTAAAAAAAATATTATTGAATAAAATTATTCAGTCGATAAAAATTTTCAATAGTACATTAAAAAAGGTAAAATTAATGATTGTTATTATGAAAATTAATGAAAATATGACAAATGAAATAATGAACATTAAAGCAATCTGTTGGAAAAAAAACATTGAGGGAAATAATTTTCCGGTACAATCGGAAAATAATAAAGAGAGTGAAAAAATTTCTTTTCACGAAAACAATGTTGTTAATTTTCAAAGTAATACCATTTGGAGTAAGACGATCATCAAATTTTCAGAAATGGTAAGATTCATAATAAATAATTTATGATAAATTATAGTCACAATAATTTTAATGTTTAATTTTAATGTTTAATTGTTTAACAATAATTATTTAAACAAAATAATAAAAATTTATCAATTCTTAAAAACTGTTAACGCCAATCGATTTTGAGTGAAAACTAACGTGCAAAATCGGAAGAAAAACAATAACTTGTTTTGTAAATAAATATTTAATTATTAATATTTTTCCACAGAAATGAAGATTTTCGAAAATTTTAAATTGAAACATTTTTTAAATTAAAAAAAAAATTTAATTATTTTAAAAAATCCTATTTAAATCCTTTGTTACAATTCAATTATTTTTACAAGTAGTAAAATTTCTCAAAAGAATTGAATTATTTAAAGAAAATATAACAAAATTCGTTGCAAGAATCTCAATATTTTAATAAATAATAAATCAATTATTCGGAAATTCATTTTTAAATAAATTTTTATTAGAAAATTTTACGAGAATTCAATTATTTAAATTCAAAAATAAATACTTAGATTTTTATTAAAATTAAATTCTCATAAAGAATTTCATCAACAAATAAAAAAAATAATTGAATTCGTTTGACGAATATTAATAACATTTTTAAAAATAATCACATTTTTCACGAAATTCGATTAAAATTGTATAAAAAATAATTAAAATTCTGCAATGAGTTTTATTATTTATGAAAATAAAATTAAATTTCAGCGAAAATTTTTGCTATATTTATATAAAGATAATTGAAATTATGACGAGAATTTTTTTTTTAATTTTTGAAAATAATTAAATTTCTTGAATAGAATTTTCTAAATTTTGAAAATAATTTTATTCTCGTGATTAATATTGTTATTTATGAAAATAGTTGAATTTTGCAAAGAATTTTATTAAAACTCTTGAAAACAATTGAATTTCTGGGAACAATTTTGATATTTATCTATAATAATAATAATTGATTTATATTTATTTATAATTATAATAATTGATAAATAATTGATTTCTTTCTAAGAATTGAGTTAAAATTTTGGAAATAATATTAAATACAATATTAGAAAATTCAACTAATTTTAACAGAATTGAAATGAAAATTGTATTAAAAATAATTATTGAAATTCTGCGATGAGTTTAATTATTTATGAAAATAATTGAATCCATGTAAAAAAATTTATTTGTGAAAATAATTGAATTATTGAGAAGAAATTTATAAAAAATTGTAAATATAATTGAATTAGTGTGAAATTTTAATTATTTATGTACCTAAATAATAAAAAGATTTGCTTAACATTTTTTTTAGATTTTTTTTAAATAATTGAATTCATTTGGAAAATTTTATTAAAATAGTAGATATTTTAAATCATTGAATTGAGGAAAATTTTTTTGAAAATAATTGAATTTTGGAGAAGAATTTTATTATTTATAAAGAATACTTGAAATTTTGACAAGAATTTTTAATAATTTTCTAACATAATAAAATTTCTGTGAAGAATTTTATTACTTTTGAAAATAATTATTGAATTTCTGCAATTATATTTGTAACTTCTTCAAAATTCATTTTTTTTAAAGTGTTTTTAACTAAAATTCTTTTATAAATTCATAATTTTTAATAATTAATTAAATAGTTATTAAAAATTAATTTTGTTTTTTTGTTTTTAATTTTCACTTGTTTAACAATAATTGTTTAAACAAATTCATAAAAATGTAGAAAATCGTTTATATAATTTATTATATAATTTGTTTATAACAATTTTATAAACAAATTACGACTTGGAGAAAAGTGACCCATACAAAAATTGCTTAATATTCCACACAGAATCGATTGCCGTTAACAACTTTTAAGGAATGCTAAATTTTTATTAATTTGTTTAAATAATTATTGTTAAACAATTGAAAATTAAAAACAAAAAAACGTATATTTTTTTCTTTAATTTGCCTATGAATCCAATTGTTAATTTTACTTAAAATTAGATTGTTTATGCTTGGGATGAAACACTCTTTATCGAGCATAATTTGTTTATAACAATTTTATAAACAAATTATAAAGAATTCTTGGAGAATAATATGACCTATACAAAACATTTTTATTTTTTCGCATAGAATTGATTAGCCTTAATAGTTTTTGAAAATTGTTAAATTTTTATTAATTTGTTTAAATAATTATTGTTAAACAATTGGAAATTAAAAAAAAAAAAAAAAGGTATATATTTTTTAATTTGCCTATGAATACAATTATAATTTTTTTTAAATATAATTAATTAATTAATTAATTAATTTTTGTATCCAAATGATTGCAATATTAAATTTTTTTATTGTTCATTTCAGTTTCTTAGTGCAATGTTCATATTTGTTTTGGAACTACAACCAACAAGAATGTCTTACATTTTTGATTTCTATTCCCGTTTTATATGCATTTTTGGTTTCTGTGGAACATTAATTTTATTAGGCAATTATATTAATGTGACAAATAATAGTGAATCAAATAGGAAACTATTTAATTGGGTGAGTTATATTCAAATAAAAATAATTATATAACTAAAAAAGGACTAATTATACTTTTCATTTTTTTTAGGATATAATATTTTGCATATTTATGTTGCTCTCATATTGTTGGCTCACTTTTGCAATTATTTTCATGTATCAATTTTATATTACGTTCCCTCTTTCATCATTAATGGTGAGTATATTTGTTTTTAAAAAGAAAACAATTTTCCAACTCTTTTGACATATTTTCAATAATATAAAGTTTTTCGAAGTTTGTTTCATTATAGAAAATAAATTGTAGAGAATCGAGTCGCTTTGCGCATTGGAGTGGGGGTAATGGGAGTGAGAAAGAAGACTGGAAATATCTCTCTCGCTCCCATTGCCCCCACTCCTATATTTCCATGAAGCGTACAGAAAATAAAAATCAGTGATTTATAATTTAAAATCATTTTTTTTAATCATTTTTTAATTTCTTATTAAAAATTATATTAAATTTCAGGTGTTCGGCTTTCTAATGCAATTCATCTTCTACTTAGATATAAAACTTAATTTGATCTGCAAAAGAAATTGTAATTAAAGTAAGTGATTTTATAAATATTTTTCTTTTATTATATAAAAAATTACCTTTTCCTTATTCAAAAAAAAAAAAAAATTGTTTGATTTCTTTCTTAAAATTTACTGCTATTTCCAAATATTTTTCTTTTAAAGAAAATGATGAAAAGAAAATGATGAAAATGAAAAGTGGGGACAAATACCATAAATAGTTGAAGTTCCTTTTGTTTAGTATCATTTGGAAATAAGGACTTATTGAAATTAATAACAGTGTTTGTGTACATATTATTTGAAAAGTGTTAAAATGTTGTCGTCCAAAACTTGTCAAGTTAATTTATTTTCCCAACAAATTACAGTTCCAAGAAAACCTTATTGGTACTTGATGACAATTTCTGGACAGTTAAAATTCACTGAATACGTAAGTTTGTTATAAAATAAAATTATTTCTGGAAAATTAATAAAAAAATATAATAAATAATTTTTTTTTTAGATAACTGCTTTGCTTGCTTTAGTTGCATATTATAATTTTTATTATACAACCTATGATCATGTTATTAGTGGCACTCGAAAAGATTATAAAATTGATGAAACAAAAAGAATTTTAATAACTGGATTTTATTGCTATAAATTTTCGACTTTTGCTATTGTTTTTTTTACAAATATAGCAACTGTATTTGACGTATTTGAATTAAGGGAGAAGATTAATAAATTTTTTTACTATATTGTAAGTAATAATTTATTTTAATGTGGAAATTTATAATTATTTCATCTCCTTTTTATTTTAAGTATACCTACAAAATTGCGAAATTAACTAAAAAAAAATTCATTCCAGGAATGTTGTTTTTACACAATTTCATGTTTTTTAAGTATATTTTGTGGCTATTTAGCAGTATACACTCTTATATTACTTGATCAATATAAAATTATCATAGACTCCACTTTACTTATAGCATTGGTAAGTTTTATTTCAATTTAAATATTTTTACTTTTTTTTTTTTTTGGTATTTTATGAAAATGGAAAATTATGAAAAAATTGCATTTACACAGAAATTTTTATTTATACAAAAAAAATATCAATGAAATTAATTTGTTAATTATTTTTTTCAGGTGTGTTCATTTGTAGGAGCTGCCTTATTTTTTTGTGATTTCTGCCGAGTTTTTTCAAAGGAAATAAAAAGAAATGAACTACTAAATTAATTGAAAGCAGAATATAAAAAGAAATTTGCATTTTATCTTTTTGGACCGATTTAAAATTAATATTATTATAAAAAAAGTATTTTTGACGTATAAATTTTTGCTGTAATGTATAAGAATTAACATTGGAGAATTTTTTTTTAAATTATTGAATATAAAAATGTTATTCATTGACACAATTTTTTTACATATGTATTCTTGTAATAAATATTTTACAATGTAATTACACACCATAATATTTATTATTACTCTTGTAGTTTAATATTATTATTATTGTTAATTTTTATTATTCTTATATTTTTATTATTATTATTATTATTTTTTATTATTATTTAGTAATTAATTAATTAACTAATTATTACTATAACTAATTATTTATTTTTCCTACATTATTAACTCATTTTTATTTGATATCGTGAATGTAATGTCTCCTTGAAATTTTATTTATATTTTTCAATTTAACTTTAATTAAACGGAAAATTTTTAGACACACCTTCCAGAATCTGTAATTAAATTAAAATTAAATTTTTTCTACTTTATATTATTGTAACAAAAAAATTTTTAAAAACTAAATTCAAATACTAAAATTATTCGTTTAAATACAATTGGCTTTAAATAAAAATTATTTAATTCAAGTAAATATTTATTTAACATTTATTTTATTATATTTATTTGATGAAATAAATGTTTTTCCAATGTAATAAATAAATTAATAAATAAATTTTATGTAAAAATGAAGTTACTCAAAAATTAGAATTTTACGAAAATGATAAGAAAATCTCACATTGTATACATCGTCGACTGCAACAATCCAAATTAAATACACAGGGTTTTGTTCTGCCTTGACATTGTTCACTGACTTGAATTCTGAAGGCAATTAAGCAGAAAAGTGTAAAAATTATTTTTTTGAGATACATTTTTCTTTTCTTTGCTCTTACATGTATATTGAAAATTTAACAATGTTTATATATTAAAACCCCCAGAAATTTTATTTCTTTCTCTTTTGAATAAATTGATGAAAATATATAAAAATAGAATTTTCCCTGTTCATATCGTTTACACATAAAAAAATAATAATAACATTATACAAATTGCATTATCGTGTTTTATTTTTCATGTAGAAGGAAATATTTTTTATTCTCCTTTTTTTTGTCTACATTGACAATTGAGGGTAAAATAAAATCATGTAATATAAATGTCATTTGACATTAAATTTATTTGACATAAATTTCATTTGACGCAAAATTTATTTAACTTAAAATTAATTAACATCATATTAATTAGAAAAAATATTATGACATAAAATTTATTTGTCATAAATTACATATTTGACATAAATTTCAATTGGCAAAAATAAATTGACTTAAAAATTAAATAAAATAAATTTCATTTGACATAAATTTCAATACGCAAAATTAATTTAACCTAAAAATTAATTGTAATAAATTTCAGTTATCATAAAATACATTTGACACAAATTTCATTTAACATTAATTGCATTTGACATAATATTTATTTGACGTAAAATTCAGTTGACATAAATTTTATTTAACATGATTGTATTAAGACAAAAATAAATTGGCATAAAATTTACATTTTATAAATAATATTTGACCTTAAAATTTCCTTTGACATAAATTTCATTTGTCATAATATTCATTGGTCGTAAAATTCATTTGACATAGATTTCATTTGACATGAAATTCATTTGACGTAAAATTCAGTTGACATAAAGTTTATTTAACATGTTAGTGATTAGACAAAAATAATTTATGACAAAAAATCTAGTTGTCGTAATTAATATTTGACCTTGAAATTTCCTTTGACATAAATTTCATTTGTCATAAAATGCATTGGTCGTAAAATTCATTTGACATAAATTTATTTTGTCATAAAATTCATTTGACGTAAAAATCACATGACAAATGACATTTGACATAAATTTCAATACGCAAAAATAATTTGACACAATCATTAATTGTAATAAATTTCAATGAACATAAAATTCATTAGACGTTAAATTCATTTGACATAAATTTCATTTAACATATAAAATACATTTGACATAAAATTCATTCGCAGTGACATAAAATTCATTTGACATAAATTTCATTGGTCAAAACTAACTTGACACAAAAATTAATAAAAGTTAATTTCATTTAGCATAAAATTTATTGGTCGTAAAAATCATTTGACATAAATTTCATTTGACATAAATACATTTGACGTAAAATTCAGTTTTTACATAAAGTTTAATTAACACGATACTGATTAGACAAAAATAAATTGATATAAATTTCATTTGTCATAAAATTTATTGGTCGTAAAATTCATTTGACATAAATTTCATTTGACATAAAATACATTTGACGTAAAATTCAGTTGACATAAATTTCATTTCACATAAAATTCATTTGACGTATAAATCACATGACATTTGACATAAAATTCATTCGCGGTAACATTTATTTAACATGAAAATTATTAGATAAAAATAACTTGACATCAAATTCACTTGTCATTAATAATATTTGACTTATAATATTCATTTGACATAAATTTCATTTGACGTAAAAATCAGTTGACATAAAGTTTATTTAACATGATAGTGATTACACAAAAATAAATTGACATAAAATTTACTTGTCATAAATAATATTTGACCTTAAAAATTTTCTTTGACATAAATTTCATTTGTCATAAAATTCATTTGACGTATAATTCATTTGACATAAAATTTATTTAACATGAAATTCTTCAGACATAAATAACTTAAAATAATATTGTATTTATCATAAATTTTAATATTTTACATAATATTTTCCGTACGTTTTCTCTCCTCAATATGATGCGATAATTTTTGGTACTTTCTACTGAAACTTTATTCATTGAAGTATTATTAGATAAATTACCGACTATGCCGACTGTAGATTACAATAGGGAAACTAATACCTGACTGCAACTGGCTACAACAGCAAGACCAGAGATGACAACACAAGTTCAGACTTGCCTAAACAAGCTGAATACATTCTCTATACTATACCTGGATTTAATGATTTTTTACATAGAAAATTTTTCAGTATAATATGCATCTACAGTATAACTCAGAAATGAAATTTTCATAGAAGAAAACTAGATTTATAAACAAATTTCTTTCTAATTATTATTTTCAATTAAAGTAACAATTTCTTCATTTCTTCTTCTTCTTCTTCTTCTTGCAAATAATATAAAAAATCTAATTTGAAAGAAATGAAATTATTCCATATTTCTTAAAAATTAATATAAAGTAACATAAATATAGATTTATGGCAATTTTTTAATTTAACGAACATAAATTTTTATCAAATGCAGTTAGTAATTATTGATAATTTTTAATAGAGAGAATATATTTTGGAAGGTTAGGTTGTATCTTTATACGGTAGTATATACATGTTTTAGCTCGTTGTGGTTTTAAGATTCAGGTCAAAGTTGGTATTGAATTGAGGTGCTTTAAAGTTAATACCTTTATTACATATCAGAATAAAAAAAGAAGAAGAAGAAGAAGAAAAAAAAATTATGGATTGGGAATCAGTTTCATTATCAAATTTACAACTTACAGAAACTGAGCACAGATATTATGGTGATATTTTCATCTATTGTTGTGAAAATTCTGACACCGATACTACTGTGCCGATGGTCAAGGTCGCTGATTTGCTTCGATCTGCCAATTTACCTCGTAATATTACACTAAAGGTATATATAATCTTATAACATTACTTATTTTCCTTCTGACAACGATTTTCTTTTTTGCGCCGTATGCGTCATTTAATTAGATAAAGCTGTAGATTAAAATTAATTTCTCCTATAAGCTGATATGAAGAACATCATTTTTTTTTCTCACTAATTTTCAAATAAATCGATTTTCAAATTCATCGGATTTTACTGCAATATTTATAATTATTATTCTATCTCGTTCGTACAATTGTCACCTTTTTTGTATTTTAAAATAAAGAACCAATCCTTAGAATTACTTTAAAGGTTATGTTGCTTTATACTTTACTTGAGAGAAATCTATCAAATTTTTGATTGTCCTAACGAAGAATTGAATTTTTTATTAGTGGAAAAATTTATAGTTTTTATTATTTGGATGAGTTTTATTGTTGTATGAAGAAATGTTAGGATAATGAAAGGTTGATTATGAAAGGTTTTAGGATTACTAAGGTAATCAAAGGTAGCTGAAAATATCTGAAAATTATGATACTATTAGGATAATCTTGTATTCTTTAACAACCTTTAATTTTCCTAACGAGGACATAGTTTGTCTTTAGGATCCTAAATATCCTGAAAAAGCTTCTTTCGGATATTTTTTAAACAGAAATATTCTATGGATTCTAATTCTAAGGATGTCCTGAATATAACCCATGATCCTTAGTCTACTGATAGGTAAAAGAAAAATAATCAAAAATTCATCTGATAAGTTCTTTTAATTGTAGATATTCGAAATTTGTGGAGGTTCAAAAAACAGTAATCTTGGCCGGAAGCAATTTTATGCAATACTGAAATTAGTGGCTGCTCATCAGGCAGGACTTGAGATAAATATTGATTCAGTAACGTCAGTTCTCGACGAAATAGCACTTCCAAGATTTACATGGTCCAATGAGGAAGAAGAAAAGCGAACAACAATGAAAAATAAATCGGCAAATCGTGTGCCAGAAAGTACAACTGAAAGTGAGAGTGAACAAGAATCACCACGTGAAACAGGCGGTAGTACAGATTCGCCAACACCAACAAATAGCGTCACTCAAGAACGAAATGAAAATATTCTTGGTAGTGAGGCAATTCACAATACTGTCACAAGTGGTTGGCAAGGTCTTTTAGTTTCTGAGGAGCAACGTCAACTTTTAGGTACCGAAGAGGAATCCTCCGAACGTCACAGTAGTGATGATGGTGATGCTGATAATTTCCCACCTGAAGAAGTTTGGACAATTAATGACGAGCAAAGAGATTATTATGCCACTCAATTCACACTATTACAACCAGATCCTGAAGGTCTTCTTGCTGGACCCGTGGCTCGGACATTTTTCGAGAAATCACGTCTTCCAGTTGCGGAATTAAGACGTATTTGGCAATTGGCGGACGTGACCCGTGATGGAGCATTAAGCCTACAGGAATTTTATGTTGCAATGCATTTAGTTGTTTTGAGAAGAAATCACATTCCCCTGCCGGATGTATTGCCCACAACATTGTCCTCTTCTTTAATTCAAAAAACAAATAAAGTTCCTTTAGTTGCAACAAATTCAGGCAATAGTAGTAGTAGTAAAGAAAAAAGTAAAGAGTGGACGAAATTTGTTGACTCGCCAACGGGAACTGGATCATTAACAAGTCCAGGACCAAAACCAGTGAATTTTGATTTTCAAAAAGCAGCTGTTGAAAGGGATCCGAAAATTCTTCATCCCGTACCATTGAGACTGACGCCAGATGCGGCGATTTTAGCGTCCAGTGCAAATGGCAGTAATGGCACTGGATCGAATTTAGGAGATGAAGAATTACAAATTCCCTCTACAACATTAGTGCAAAGACCCCTTGCTAAGAAACCACCACCACCTCCTGAAGAGAGTGTCATTGCGACGCCAAAAAAGGAGCCACCACCACCACCACCTCCTAGACCGTACAGAACGCACACCAGAAGTTCTAGTCTTGATCTTAATAAATTAGGTAAGTTACACTACCAGGAAATTATTGTATAAAAACATTCATCTAACTGTTAAGAATTACTTGCCCTATACAGCATCTAAAATTGCAGCAAAAATATTGGTAAAAATTTATTCAGATTGTTTTAATTCTCTTATTTTAAAAAATTTAAAGTAGTGTATAGCGAACTTTTATTTTAAAAATGTAAATCTTATTTTTATCTTAAAAATCAAAATAAGTAAAAACTAACTTATTAACTTGAATTGTTGATAAATTAAAAAATTCACTTTTAATTCACTTTTAGGAAAAAATGGCCAGAGCTTCTTGGGTGCTCCTCCTCTTGTACCACCAAGAGTATCACCTGGAATTGTAAGTTTTCAATTTTTTACAAAAGTTTTATAGTTTAATTTATCATTTGTGATGAAAGGGACCTAACGCTTCAATAACATTAGACCTAATGTTTCTGTCGCGTTAGGTTCCTTTCACCCTGAAACTTTTACATTTTAATTTTGATCAATGATTTGATCTTCCTTAAAAAATCATCATTTCCCTTGATGTGTTATCTAAAACTAGGGAGTATTGCCAACAATGAACACAGAAAATGTTTCAAGTTATAAATTCATTTTTAAAATCAGATAAATTCTTTATAAATATTAAGTAAACGAATAAATTTTTCAAATGCAAAATATGATAAAAGCATAAACACTACGAAAAATTAACTAAAACAAACTAAAATCCAAAGGAGGAGGGTCTCTAAGGAGGATCACATGGGATTTTAATTTAAATAATTGAAATGTACAATTTTACAAATAAGAATTATATTTTTGTCAATTTTAGGCGAAACGAGGGGGTTTTGGTCATATTAACCCGTTCAAACTAAGGGTTTTTTTCAAAAAAAGAGAGTAGAAAAGGCACAAAAAAAAATTTCTTAAATTGTAATGCAATTGACTTCAAACTTGTTACTCGGGGTTTTTTGGGGTCACTGATTACGAACCTAAAGTCAGATTTTAAAAATTCAAAATGGCGGATCCAATATGGCGGACGAATTTGGTAAAACTCATTGAAATCAGTTGAAACTCGTTACTCGGGAGTTTTTGGGAACGCTGATTACGAATCTGAAGTCGGATTTCAAAAATTCAAAATGGCGAAATCCGAGTAACGAGTTTAAACTGAATTCCATGAGTTTTTTACAAAACTCGTCAGCCATATTGGATCCGCCATCTTGAATTTTTGAAATCCGACTTAAAATTCGTAATCAACAACCTCAAAAAAAACCCAAGTAACAAGGAAGTCAATTGCATTAAAATTAAAATTTTTTTTGTGCCTTTTTTACTCCCTTTTTTTGAAAAAAAAACCCTTAGTATGAAAGGGTTATTATGATCAAAACACTCTCGCTTCGCCTAAAATCGACAAAAATATAATTCTTATTTGTAAAAATATAAATTTCAATCATTTAAATAAAAATCCCAAAAATAGAAATTAAATTTGTTTAAACAATTCATAAATTTGGTCTATTCGTAAAATTTGCATGATAAAATTTGTCACTGAAATAACACTTGTTGTTAATTAAGTGAAAATTATTACTTACCTATCAGCAAAGATAGGCATAATTCTAATTTTTTTTATAAAATTGTTTTAAAAAATACCAATTGTTGTTAAAAAGTATTTCAATTCTATTCAAATATAATTATTTTCTTATGTTCTTTTATAAACAAAAGTAAAATATTTTATTATTAATCCTTTCGTGCCTCCGGGACATAAATGTCCCAATTAGAAAATTTTATTTTATTCTTATAAAAGTCAAACAATTAATTTGCGTTAAATTTGTTCATCAAATTCGTAATTATCAACCCTGAAAACTTCACATAGCAATTTTCAAGCAAATTGAAGCAATTTTTTAAATATAGTCAGCCATATTGGTTCCGCCATTTTGGATTTTGAAAATTTTTGTTTATAATTTAATTTGAATTATATAATTTAAGCAATTTTTAAAACTGACATCGGATTCGTAATCAGCTACCCTAAAAAGCCCCAAGTACTAATTTTAAAGCAAATCGAAGCAATTTTTGAAAATTTTGTCCGCCATATTGAATCCGACATTTTGAATTTTCAAAGTTTTAAAAATCTAACATCTGATTCGTAATTAGCGATTCCAAAAACTATCGAGTACAAATTTTCAACAAAATCCAACCGCTGGATTGCCCAGGGGCACGAAAGGGTCAAAAATAATAAAAATACTTCTAATGTTCAATTTATTTGTTTATAACATTTAAAAAAAAATTTGTTATTAAACTGTAGGTTTATTATATATAATTTCTTCACGATTATTTCTGCATTCAAAATGGCAATATTTAATCAATCAATCAAACAAATCAGTGAAGAATAAAAAAAAAGTTTTACACTTCTTATTGTTTATTTATAATTATTGTTAATATATGTACGCTGACTATAAAACACACTAAGAGTATTGTTTTTTGTATAATGTGAAAAAATGTTGGAATCATGGATGTACTTCACTATTATTTATGGTTAATAAGGATAAATAATGTATTTTACTATTATTACAATGAACTTTTCATTTGTTTAAACAATATATTATTGCTAATTTATAACAATTCCAAAAACAAAATAGAGAAAAGCAAATTTCTATAAATTTGGCAGCTGATATTGGTATTATTTAATGCTAAGTTAATAAATTAAATGAAATATTAAATTAAATTTGCTACAGTTATTATTTAACATTGTTTAAACAATTAATTGTTGTTATTTATTAACTATTTTTCTATGACACCTAGAAAGATGCAGTTTTTTTCTAATTTTGCAATTTTCGAAGCTACTTATGTATAATAACCGATTAATGTTAAATGTCAAATCGCTATTTTAGAAATTGTTTAAATAACTAATTATTGTTATTTATTAACTTTTTTCCTATTGCACCTAGAAAGATGCAGCTTTTTTCTAATTTTGCAATTTTTGGACCTACTTATAAAAACCGATGAATGTTAAACATTAAATTGTTTCGATATTTTAGAAATTGTTTAAACAATTAATTTTTGTTATTTACTAACTTTTTTTCTATTGCACCTAGAAAGATGCAGTTTTTTTACTACTTATGCAATTCTTGAACCCACTTATAACAGATAAATATAAAATGTCAAATCGATATTTTAGCAATTGTTTAAACAAAGAATTGTTGTTATTTATTAACTTATTTTCTATTACACCATAGAAAGATGCAAAAAATTTTATTTTTATTTTTTTAATTAAATATTAAATACTTGTTCTAATTTTTTAAAAAATTTCTTTTTTAATTGTAAATAATTAAACGTACTGGTATGCTTGTTTATTAGATCACTTTTGATAAATTGCAAAATTAGAACAAAAATTGCGTCTTTTTAGGTGTAATAGAAAAAACGTTAATAAATAAAAACAAATAATTTGTTTAAACAATTGCTTATATATTGATTTGACATTTTATATTTATCTGTTATAAGTGGGTGCAAAAATTGCAAAATTGGAAAAAAAACTGCATCTTTCTAGGTGCAATAGAAAAAAATGAGTAAATAACAACAATTAATTGTTTAAATATTGTTAAATAATAACTATAGTAAATTTAATTTAATATTTTATTGAATTTATTAATTTAGCATTAAATAATACCAATATAAGCTGAAAAATTTATAGAAATTTCCTTTTCTCTATTTTGTTTTTGGAATTGTTATAAATTAACAATAATAAATTGTTTAAACAAATGAAAAATTTATCGTAACATTAATAAATTAGATTACTAGACAATATCGATGAGAAATTTTACTACCTTTAATTTAAATAAACTTTAAAATATTTTTTTTCCCATGAAACAAAAATTCGTGAATAATTATTATTAATATAATTTTTTTTTTTTTTTTGAAAAAAAAATTTAATAGACTTCACCACGAAAATTGGTTGGTCAAAGAAGTGAGGGCGAAACACAACAACGTACTTCAAGTGAATGTCAAGGATTCGTCGCTGATTTCTCGCAATTCACATCAACAAGGCCAGAAATTGTTGATTCTCAAACAATTGAAAATATTGCTTCACAGCAATTCACCGGTGTTTGTGGTGCGTTTCATATCTACAGAAAACCTAGTCCAAGTAAGTCCAATCGATGAAAAAGAAAAATTAAAATTAATCGTTTGAATTGATTTCAATTTAGGTTTGGTCGTTTCAGAGCGTGAGGCCGGTCAGCATGATGCGGCAATTGAAGATCCTGAAGATAGTAAAAATTTAACTTTACAGGAATTACGAGAGAGAAATGCCGAATTGAGGCAAGTTTGTGAAGAATTAACAAAAGAATTAGCTGGTGCTCTTCAAGAACGAATTAATTTGCGTGCGAAACTCTTATTATTGACATGATCCCTTCGTCAATCTTCCCTTTATTTTTAAGTTAAACATTAGACTTTAATTTATTTTGAACTAAGTTTTTTTTTTTTTGCCCTCATATAATTGGTAATTTTATACCTTTTTTTTGCATTTACATGAAAAAAAAAGAAACATGATTTTTTAAATTATTTATCAAGACTTAATTTCCGCTTTTTTAATTGTTTTTCCAAATATTAGATTTTAATATATGTAGGTCTTAATTTTTTTTTTTTAACAACTATGACCAGCACCTAATTCTCAATATTTGTATACAATTGCCGCACGTTAATCGATGTTAATTTCTTGATTAAGTTTTACAATATTGTTATAAATTAATTTTACGAGATTTTTTAAAGATTCTGAGACTAATAGGACACAATTTTGTTTATCCGAAGTTTCATTGGTATTTGAATTGTTATTTTTTCGTTTTCACATTTAATTTCTACACATCACAATTTTCTTTTTTTCAATTATTATTATTATTTTTCTTATTATTATTAAAAACAAATTTAATGATTAAAATAACTATTGAAATTTCGGAAATTATATAGATAATTTTATAGAAATATTATAATTTTTTCTCATTGAAAATCAAAGTTCTAACGAATATAAAAAAGTTAATTATGAACAACGGGAAATAAAAAAATCTACAAAATCTTAGCGACTAAAACTAAAAAAAAATTCTCTGTAATTAGATTCAATTTTCATAGATTAAATTAATTTTCAATATCCATCAAACTTTTTTCAAAGGCACTAAAAGATTTTGTAAATCGGTTAATTTATAGTAAAAGATAATTTGAATTTATGATATAGGACATTTTAATAATAAATGAAAATGTACAGAATTGTAAATTATTAAATGGCAGATTTATAAAAGAAATTATGAATTTTAAAATATGTAAATTTTTATCAATTTTAATAATTAAATTTTCTTGATTATTGACAAGCAGATTGTTCGTTATATATATAAATATTATACAAATATTTTTATTTAATAATATAAAAAGAAATTTTCATTTTTAGTGCGTTTAAATAATTATTAAACGTTTCTGTGCCATATATAATGCGATGTGATATTTTGTTAAAATGTATAATCTTCGACATCGCTTATTTTTTTATTTTTTGACACACGAATTTTGTGTCCTTAAAAAAATTTTTGCATATATATATATTTAATCCCAGGATCATTAAAATATAATACTTAAAAATACGCTCACAATTTAATTATTAAATAGGGTTTCAAAATTACGTGTACTATAATTTTTTGTAATTTTTACCCTATAGCATTGCATAAAAAACATTTACATTATGTAATTACGTGTAAAATATATATATATATAAATTATCAATGGTTTCTAATCTAATGAAAGGTAAAAAACTAAGAAAAATAGACATTAATGTTAAATGATATTAAATTGGACTTATTTTTTTTAACAATATAAATTATTTATAATTTAAAAACCTTTTAGTTTAAATTATGACAAAACAACATTTTCAATACTGTAAATTTATTTAATATGAATTTTTTTTTCTTCATCGGGTTCTAAAAATAAATAACACAACTTTTTTGCACTATTAAAAAATATTTTTTTTTTTAAATAAAAATAATTTCTGTTTTTCTTTTATGGAAACACAATTTTTGTTTAAAATTCTTAAAATTTCTTTTCATTTTTTGTTCAAGAGATAGTTTTTTTTAAATTTATTTATTTTTTACATTTTTCTTTGTAGAATTTTATTTTTTCTAATTAGTTAAAATTAAAAAAATGGAGAATATATTTAATATAGAAGTTTATAAATTAAATTCGTTTTAGAATTTTATTTCCAGCCACTGAGCCTGGTCGGCTTTGAAACATTTCTCCAGACAACATTCCACACCAATCGCCGGTTATGACGTGGCTGAGAGTAGAGGGGACTTTAGAGAACTTTAACAAATTGAAACCTGAAACTTCAGTCTATCTGGAAACTAAATTCGAATTGGAGAGAATCCTGACGTTTTTAAATAAGAAAAATAAATTTCAATATTCTACCGGATTTTTAAGGTGATTTTTGAAGAATTCTAAAAACTTTATTTATATTTTAAATATATTGCGATAATATTTATTCATTTAAATGTTAAGAAGTATTTAGTAATTTAAATTAAATGTAGAAATTTTAATACAAAGTAAATGAAAGATTAAAAAGAAACAAAAATTTAAAAATTATATTAAAATTAAAATTTTCAGTAAAATTTAAATTCTGAATTTAAATTATTTTATTAATGTACAAAAAAAATATTTTATTGGATTTGTAAAATATTTTTAAAATAAATTAAAATTTTCTTTTTCCACAAAGCATACTAAACATCAAGAATATTTTTCCACATTCATTTAATTTAATTCAAGGTCAAAGTGTAGTGAATAAATCAAAGCTTTTTATAATTTTAATGAATAAGATATTTAAAATAAAAGAAAAATGTTTTAAATTTGTTGCTAAACATTTTCAAAGTTCCCAAAATATTTATAATTTAAAATAGTTTTTTTTATTTATTTATTTAAATTTCGAAAAGTTAACATTGTAGACCGAACAGTGCAAAAATAATTAACTATTAATCAATTTGCAAAAAAAAAATTTTTTGTCTACTAATTTTCAATTTTTTTTTCCTAAAAATATTTATACAAAAAAATATATTTACTATATAATTTGATTCAAAAATTATATCTAGGGCTCCTAAAAGATTTTCGCCGAAAGAATAAAAAAAAAATTGATAAAAATTACATGATTATGATAAGATTGTAGATAAATGATAAAATTAATCTTTAAAACAAATATTTATTATTTAAATTCTTTTATCAAAAAATAATTTAATCGAATTTTACATTTTTTGAAGTAAAAAAAAATTCTTTTATTTCATATATAAATAAATTTAATATTTCTTGTAGGATCATCATGTCTGTAGAAATAAAAAGTGTCCTCGTAAGTGATCCTGTGGACGAATCATGTATTAAACTTTTAACTAGTCATGGAATTCAAGTGACTGCAAAATATAAATTACCAAAGGACGAATTAATTAAAGAATTACAGGTAATTTATTTGTAAAAATATTTTTAGCGATTTTCTCTTTATTTACCTAATTTTTCACATATCAGATAAATTTGCAAAATCTTCCAAGCGAATCCATTTGATACTTAAATTTTTTTTCGACGCCATATTGGATCCACCATTTTGAAATTTAAAAATTTGATATCAGGTTACTAATCAGCAATCTAATCAAAACTTTAGTTCAACTATTAGTGACCAACTTTAAAAATTAAAAATTAAAATTATAAAAAATACCTTTAAAAACTTTTTTTGGAATAATGTTTTCCTAGAAAATTGAATTATTTAATATTTTTAATTAATTAAATTGTTTATTGTTTTTTTTATTCATAAATTATTTATTTTAATAATGAAAAAATTTTTAATAATTATAATTTATTAATTTTCTGATAAAGAGTAAATGATAAAAAAGTATTAAGATAATTTATTAAAAACTTTTAATTTTAAAAAAGTAGCGAAACTTAGCTTAAAGACAAAAAAAAAAGTGGTAAAAAAGTATCCATCGAAAAATTAAATAATTTATTGAATAATTGAATATTTTCTGAATTTGAATTTTTATAAAAAACTTTATTAACATTTTTTCCAATAATTAAATTTTTACGAAGAATTGCAATACAATTTTTGATAATAATTAAATTCATTCAAGAAATGTAATTAAAAATTAATCGAAAATAATTATTACACTTTAAGAAACAAATTATATCAAATTTTTTTTTAATAATTGAGTTTCATCGAAAAATTTTAATCAAATTTTTAAGAATAATTGCGTTTTTAGGGAAATTAATTAAAAATTATATTAAAAATAATTAAAATCCTACGATGAGTTTTATTATTTATGAAAATTATATTGAATTTTCGTCACCGAACTTCAATAAAGTTTTTAAAATAATTGAATTCTTGAGAAGAATTTCAAAAAAATCTTTTTAAAGAAATGATTTTTTTCAATAAAACATTTTATGAAAATTGTTTTTTAAATAAAATTGCAATCAGTTTTAATATTTTTAAAAATATAATTTAATTCTTAAAACGATTATTATTAAAATTTTAAAAAATAAATGAATTCCTGAGAAGAATTTTATTAAAATTTTTAAAAATAATTGAAATCCTGTGATGAGTTTTATTATTTATGAAAATTATATTGAATTATCGTCACCGAACTTCAATAAAGTTTTTAAAATAATTGAATTCTTGAGAAGAATTTCAAAAAAATCTTTTTAAAGAAATGATTTTTTTCAATAAAACATTTTATGAAAATTGTTTTTTAAATAAAATTGCAATCAGTTTTAATATTTTTAAAAATATAATTTAATTCTTAAAACGATTATTATTAAAATTTTAAAAAATAAATGAATTCCTGAGAAGAATTTTATTAAAATTTTTAAAAATAATTGAAATCCTGCGATGAGTTTTATTATTTATGAAAATTATTTAATTTTTTGTTACCGAACTTAAATAAAGTTTTGAAAATAATTAAATTCTTGAGAAGAATTTAAAAAAAATCTTTTTAAAGAAATGATTTTTTTAAACTTTATGAAAATTGTTTTTTTAAATAAAACTGCGATCAGTTTTAATATTTATAAAAGTAATTGAATTCTTGATACGATTATTATTAAAATTTAAAAAAATAATTGAATTCCTGAGAATAATTTTATTAAAATTTTTAAAAATAATTGAATTGATGAAAATATTTTTATTATTTATGAAAATACTTGAATTGATGAAAATATTTTTATTATTTATGAAAATAAATGAATTTTTGTCACCGAACTTCAATAAAGTTTTTAAAATAATTAAATTCTTGAGAAGAATTTCAAAAAAATCTTTCTAAAGAAATGTTTTTTAAATAAAACTGCGATCAATTTTAATATTTATAAAAGTAATTAAATTCTCGCAACAATTATTATTAAAATTTTTAAAAATAATTGAATTCATGAAAATATTTTTATTATATTTATAAAAGTAATTGAATTCTTGGGATGAATTTTCTAAAAATCTATTTAAATAATTTAATTTTTTTTTTAATAATATTGGGAAAATTCTATTTTAAATAATTGAATTCTTAAAAATTTCATTATTTATGAAAATAATTGAATGTTTGCTAAGAATTGTATAAACATTTTTTTTATACTTAATTCAATTTTTTTGGGAAATTATTTTTTTAAATAGTAGATATTAAAAATCATAGAATTAAGTAAAATTTGTGAAAATAATTAGTAGATGAGTGCGAGGCCTGCAATTGTGGAAATTTTTTTGAAAATGTACGAAGGGGTGGGTGGGGGGTTTGAAAATTTTAATTCAGTTTGATCAGTAGATTTTTCAAAAAATCATATCTATTACATAATAATGTGAAAAAATTTTATCCTATATGCTTTCGGTAGATTTTTTTTCTGTTCTTTTAAATGTGGAAAAAAATTTTTGAAAAAATTCTAAAATTTGACCCTTTTTTTGAAAAATAAAAAGTTTTTCGGAAATGGACCCTTTTTTATTTTTTTAGCTTTAAAATATAGAATTCATATTCTTTTAAAAATTGAAATGAAATAAGACTTTTTTTTCGTTTTCAAGATATTAATTATTTGATTTAAATTGTATTTAATAATTAAGTTAATTACTTCGTTTATTAATTATACGTTTTAAGATTTATTTTAAGACTGGAAAAAACGGTTCTTTTAAAAAAAGGTCAAAATTATTTTTGATTTTTAAAAAAAGGGTCTAATTGAACCCCTTGATGCAAGAACCAGACATAGACCATAGAAATTAAATGGGCTACGTCTGGTTCTTGCATCAAGGGGTTCAATTTTGAATTAATTCAAAAAATTCCTACACTATTGAAAAGAGTGAAAAAAAGCCTTTCGGAAATATAGAGATCAAAAAATTTGTTTCAAGCTGTTGTATAATAGAAACTGTCAAAAATCTACTGTTCCGACAACCTCTTGAGATTGCGTTACACTTGAGAAATTTCTCCTCATATACATTAGCAGTAAAATTATTAAGTTGAATTTTCATTTACTTTTAGAATCATCAAGCTTTGATTGTAAGATCAGAGACAAAAGTTACGGCCGATGTTCTAGATGCTGTATCAAATTTAAAAGTTGTTGGTAGAGCCGGAACGGGAGTTGATAATATTGATGTTCCAGCCGCAACGAAAAATGGAGTTATTGTTTTAAAGTATAAATACATTTTTCTTTACTAAACATTTTTGTTTCTTTTGTAAATTTTTGTTTCTTCAAATAAGAAAATTTCTTCTTTTAACAGTACACCAGCTGCTAATAGTATCAGTGCTTGTGAATTGACATGTGCATTAATATCATCATTGGCACGAAATGTCGTTCAAGCAAGTCAATCCTTAAAGGAAGGGCGATGGGATCGTAAATTATATTCCGGTTTTGAATTGTATGGAAAAACTCTTGGTGTTGTTGGAATGGGTCGTATTGGTCGTGAGGTAGCAATTCGTATGAAATCATTTGGAATGAAAATTATTGCCTTCGATCCATTACTTAAGGATCAAGATGCTGAGGAATTAAAAATTCAAAAGGCTGAATTAGATGAAATCTGGCCTGTAGCTGATTATATCACTGTACATACGCCTCTTATTCCTCAAACAAAAAGTAAATTTTAAAAAGTTTACATTTTTTTTTTTTTTTATTAAAAACTTTATGAGCCTTTGGGAACAAAAATTTTATTTAATTTCAGATTTAGTTAACGCGACAACATTGGCAAAATGTAAGCAAGGCGTTTATGTAATTAATGTTGCAAGAGGTGGAATAATTAATGAGGAAGATTTATTAAATTCAATAAAAAGTGGTCATTGCGGAGGAGCTGCTTTAGATGTTTATATTGAGGAGCCACCAAAGAATCCAATTACTTTGGAACTTATTAAACATCCAAAAGTTGTTGCCACTCCTCATCTTGGTAATTAAATAATATAAAAGATTCTTCTTTTTTTTATGGATTAATTTTTAAAATTAATAAAAAATATTTTTTTATTCTAGGTGCGAGTACAGCAGAGGCACAACAAAGAGTTGCTCTTGAAGTAGCTGAACAATTTTTAGCATTATCGGAAAAATCGAAGGAATACAGTGTCACTGGTGTTGTGAATCCACAGGTTCTAAAATCTGCCTAATTTTTGTTTTACATTTTTTTATATGCTCCTAGTCTATATGTATTTTCTAATTAAGGTCCATTTTTCATGTAAAAGAAATATAGAACATTAGAAAAATTTCTTGTTGATTGTTGTATTATTTATACTTTTGAATGATCTCATAGTTTTAACTCTCTCAGAACTAATGGAAGATTTAACAGAAGCATTAATTATCAATTCATGGACCATATAATAATTCTTCCGCAGATGCTGCTGTAGACATGGCTCAAAATTTTTGAAGCGTGCAACTAATTTTTCGATAGAGATATTTTTATATTGCATATCAATAATTTTATATTATTTTTCTACCAAAATATGACTTCAAAGTGGATTTTGCAAAATTTTAATTTTCTTAAGAGTTATTGTTTAAACAATTTTTATGCATTACATTATTGAAAAATTTTTTCCTACCGTTCTAAATTTCTAATTGATGAATTTTAGTAAAATTTGGTATGAGTAATATGCAATAGTCATACTTTCAAATAAAAATATTCAGAAATTTTTAGCCAGGTCTATAAATTTTCTTTTTTCTTTTGGTATTATTATTGAATATTTTCGGTATAGAAGAAATTAAAATTTTAGAACTAGGTACTGTTAAAAACCGTAGTAAGTAAATGTATTTATTTTTATTGTTAAATTAATTTTTGCTTTGCATAAATTTTATGAGATCAAGCATTCGTACCGAGTAACCATACTCGTTATCATACCAGGCTACAAGTTTGACGAATTTTTCATTCAATGCAATACTGGCTTTGGCATCAAAAACACTGGAATAGGAGCTGGTCATAAAATCAGATGAAACAACATCCTCATTAGTGTAACTGAGAATTCCATGAAGCGGACTTCCGGCACATGTTGATTCCATAATTTTATTTTTAATCTCATCAAGATTTGTTGCCTTGCAGAGTCGCACCGTTAAGTCAATCACCGAAATATTTGCCACTGGAACACGAAATGCCATTCCCGTCAATTTTCCATTTAATGATGGAATTATTTTTCCCACAGCTTTTGCCGCTCCAGTTGAGGCTGGAATTATATTTTGCAAAGCACCGCGTCCTGATCGCCAGTCCTAAAATTTCTTCAAATTAATATATCCATATAAAAAAATATAGTTTTGAAGAAACAATAATTTAGGGATAAAGTATACTTTGCCCGAGAGTGTGTCTACAGTTTTTTGTGTCGAAGTAACTGCGTGAATAGTTGTCATCAGTCCTTCGGCAATTTGAAAATTATCATCTATTACTTTAGCTAGGGGAGCAAGACAATTGGTTGTGCATGAAGCATTGGAAACGATATTTAGGCTAGGATCATAGGAATTATGATTGACGCCAACAACAAACATTGGCGCATCTTCGGATGGTGCTGAAATTATCACCTTTCTCGCTCCTCCTGTCAAATGATCCTATAAATGTAAACAAAATTATTTCTTCTACAATGTTTTAAAAATTTTGGAAATATACAATGAATATATCATTTACCGAAGCTTTTTTAATGCTAGTAAATCCACCTGATGATTCAATTACATATTCCGCTTGAGCATTTTTCCAGGGAATATTTTTCGGTTCTGTCTCTTTAAAGATATGAATTTTATTACCATTTATGAAAAGACAATTATTTTCGGTTTTAATTTCACCATTAAATTTATTGTGCGAAGAATCGTATTTAAATAAATAGGCCATGTAATCCACATTTGCAAATGGATCATTAATTGCAACTATCTGTTAATAAAGAGAATTAATCAAAACAATACAGAATTTGATTACTTAAAAAGAAATTTAGAAAAGTACTTAAAAGAAATGTTACTTTAACATTTTTATCAAACGAAGCTCTAAGAACCATTCGACTAATTCGACCAAAACCATTGAGACCAACATTGCACATTTTTGAAGAATAATTTTAATTAGCAATGAAAGAAATGTTGTATTTTTTTGGTTAAGCGTACAATATTTAATAAAGTGAAGTTGGTATTTTTTGTCTAGCATAAAAACTTAAGGAAGGTATAAAGAAGACAATTTTGACGTTGTAATTAACGTTTATTGAAGTCAATGATCAAATGAAAAAAAAAAAGATTTAATCTTACTGGCAACACATAAATGATACATTAAACATTACAAAATGAAGAAACAAGAAATTGTCGCAGAACATTTCACAGCATGACAAATCAGAAAAAATACATCAAGGATTATATCACTAATCGGTTCAAACAGCAAAAAATTCTAGATTTTACATTTTAAAGATTATTTTTATCGTGATGATAAGAATTTTTAAATCGTCCTTGCAGATTACCTAATATTTTATTGTTTTTTTCAAAATTGAAAGAACAAACTTTTGTTATTGATTTTGACAAAAAAAAAAGTTCATCAAAGAAACACTGTTTATTGATCTTTGGTTTGCATAAATTTGATGAGATCAATAACACGACTGGAATAGCCAAATTCATTGTCATACCATGAAATAAGTTTGACAAATTGATTATTCAATGGAATTCCAGCTTTCGCGTCAAAAATACTGGAATGAGTGTCGCCAATAAAATCAGATGAAACAACTTCGTCATCAGTGTAGCCAAGAATTCCATGAAGTGGACCACCAACGGCAGCTGCCTCCTTTACTTTAGCCTTAATTTCATCATATGTCGCTGGTTTTGCAAGACGTACGGTCAAATCAACAACCGATACATTAGCAACTGGAACACGGAATGCCATTCCCGTTAATTTTCCATTTAAAGCTGGAATTACTTTGCCAACGGCTTTTGCTGCGCCAGTTGCGGCTGGAATGATGTTTTGTGCGGCACCACGTCCATCGCGCCACAACTGAATGAAATTAATTTTATCATTGATAAAGAATAAAGAAGAAATAGAGAAATATTTTTTCGAAGCAAAAAAAAAAAAAAACAACGAACCTTTCCAGATGGTCCATCAACGGTCTTTTGGGTGGCAGTTGTTGCGTGAACGGTGGTCATGAGTCCCTCGACAATTTCAAAATTATCGTTAATCACTTTGGCAAGAGGAGCCAAACAATTGGTTGTGCATGAAGCGTTAGAAACGACTTTAGCACTTGGATCATAGGCATCAAGATTAACACCGACAACGTACATTGGTGCATCGGCTGATGGAGCTGAGATGATCACCTTCTTTGCTCCTCCTTCCAAATGAGCCTAAAATTATCCAAAATAGACGAAGAAAAATTATTAGTAATTTCAAATTAATCTTCAATTCTGAAAAGTGAAAGTTTGCCTAAAGATTAATTGTTTTTCAATTTGCTGCAAAAAATAAAAAAATTCATTCTTACTAACCGAAGCTTTATCAATTGTGGTGAAGACACCAGTGGATTCCACTACATATTCAGCACCAGCTGATGCCCAGGGAATTGTTTTTGGGTCACGTTCACTGAATACCTTAATTTTATTACCGTTCACAACCAAACAACCGTCCTCGTGTTTAATGTCTCCCTTAAATTTGCCATGAGTGGAATCGTACTTGAAAAGATAGACCATATAGTCAACTGTAATGAATGGATCATTGACGGCAACAACCTGTGAAGAGAATTTTTTTTTTATTAATAATTAATGAATTCATTAAATTAAAGTAAAATTTCTAAATAGAAACAAAGAAAAAAATGAAAACATAAAGAATAAATATTTAGCTTCATAAAAATTATAATAATTACCTGTGCGCCTTTTTCAATGGAAGCTCTTAACACCAAACGACCAATACGGCCGAATCCGTTGATTCCGATTTTGCTCATTTTGTTATTGGGAAAACTGTAATAAAATTTTATTTTTTATTTTCTTTAAATAATAATTAATAAATAATTGTGACACGTTTCTTACAAATGATATACTTATGAATAGCAAAATTAACATTATGTTCGTGTTATTTTTTCCATAATTAAAACTTTCTTATTTCGCAAGACTAAAATAAGTTTTTATTAATTATTTCAAGTGCAATAAACATTGACAATATATTCAGACTTGATTCACTTTGAATTATTATTCCTAAAATTTGAAATACAACTTTTCTTCTTTAGATACCTTTCTTCTGTGTCACAATTGCATTAAGAATTCTAAATTCCAATTTTAATTATTAACAAACAAAAATGCTCGCAAAAATGTTTAACTGTTACTAATTGACAAATATATTTAATTATTAAAAACAAACAAATGTTTAATAATTAAAAATTAAAAAATTAAAAAAAATGTTTTACTATAAATTTTCATTATAAGTTTCATAATAATAATAAATATTAAAAAAAAAAATTAATAACTGTTCGAGTATTTATAATTAATAAATAAAATAATTAATTAATAAAAAAATAATATTAAAAAAATTATAGAAATAAAATCAAAAATATAATTGGTTTTGTCCAAAAATTCCGTTAATTTTAAAGGTCACTCAAGGTTACAGTTGTTAGATCCCTCCCTCACTTTGACCTTGAAATTTAGTTGCCCTTAATATCGATCTATTCTTCCTTAAAAAAAATTTCTTTTCGGTTTATTAATATTGTTAATATTAGTGCTAATTTTATTTTTTATGATATAATTAGCCTAAGATATACAAGTGTCAAATAATTCAACGAAGCGAAAAATTACATCATCTGAAGTACAGAAAATTTTCAAAATACATCATTAAATTTAAATAATTTTTATTTTCATAAACAAATTAAATTTTTAATAAACAATTTATTTCAGCTTCTAATTACTAACAACTATTATATAAGCTGAAAACATTTTTTTTCTACATTTTACAAAAATTACTGCATACAGAAGATTATTTTTAAAAATTATTTTTATACAAAAAATTGTTTATTAAAAGCAATTACTAAAGTAAAATAAAAATAATTTCTATATTGGTATATGAGAAGAAATATTTCAGGCCACCATTTTCAATTTTCCCTAAAGACCTTCAATAATTATTATAATTGGTCTCTAAAAATAAAACAATTTACAAATTTTTTCTTTTTATATTTAATTTTACTTAATTTATTATTGTATAAAATTTATAATGTTGAAATCTTTTGCCGGTAGTTTTTATATGTTATAAAAAAAACTCCATGGTCGAATACGGTTAAAATCGTCTGCTAGATGATAGAAAATGTCGTCATTACGTCAAAGAAGTTAAGTGAAATTTTTTTTTCCAAAAGATATATATATTAAATTAAAAATAATTTTTTTTCTTACAAATTATTATTCATTATTAATATTATGAAAGGAAATAGTTTATTATGAACGAATTTAAAAATCGATAATTCAAAAATGGAAACTTTTATAAGGAGCACGTAACACTGACAAATAATTTTAACGCAGTCCAGGGGGTCATATTCTTGATTTAAAAAAAGAAATATTTTTTTCAGATTCAAAAAATTTAAGAAATCTAATTTAATTATCATGAGATGAGTCATAAACAACCGGTTATTTAATAAATCAAGTTAAAGAAAAAATTACGTTATACTTCAGAGAATAAGAAAAACGAATCACGCCCGTATAGATATTCTAAATTGATAGTCATTTTATTAACAGAAATTTCATAATTTTCAGTTATTGAGAAATATTTTTTCTTGAAGATTAAAAAAAAATATCAAATTTAAAGAAAAAAAAATTTTTTTTTCTAAACACTTTTTCGGTAAATTTTTGAAGAATTTAAGGTAAAGAAAATTGTTCCTTTTTACTTACAGAGTTGTACAGAACCACACACTATGATAATCACAGGAACAGTGTCATTTGAAGGGCAGGAAACGTTAATATAACCGATGTGAAATTAGTGCGAATGCGCTGAACGTGTTCTTCTTCATTGGTTCAGAAGAAGTTCACGTGTCAAAAAATTATATTGACCATGTTCAAGCGGTTTATTTGAAAAATTTTATATCAAAAACCTAAAGTTTAAGTTAAAAAAATGGAAAATATAATAAATAAATAAGAATAACAATAAATAGTGTTATTTTTAATTTATTAATAATACATTGTTTACAATAATTATAGTTTTTAAATTATTATTTGTATCTTAATAAAATTATTATTATAATTATCATTATTATTATCATTATTATCATTATAATTATTTATATTATTTTTATTATTCTTATAGTACTTTTTTTAAACGCAATTATTAATTAATATTAATACTATTAATTTATTAATATTAATTTATAGTTAAAAAATTTAATTGTTAATACTTAATTAATAACAATAATTTCGATAATAATTGTAAGCTTGTAATTAATTAATTAATTGTAAATTTTACAAGATTTAAATTAAAGTTAACAAATAGTGATAAATAAATTTTTAGTTCTCAAAAAATTCAATAGTGAGAATGATCCATAAAAAGGAAAGTCTACAATCCAGCAGTCAGTCAGCAATACCTTCAGTTAATGTGGATTCTTCTATACCTGACCAAGTTAACTACTGGGACACAATTTTCTGAAGGAGATTTCTATTATTCAACTTTCTACTACAAAACAATATCCATTCGTTTTTTTTTTTTTTTTTTTTTTTTTTTTTTTTTTTTTTTTTTAATATTAATATTAATTTTGTTACTTCACTCATATCAGACTTCGCACTCGATCATTAATTTTAAAAAAAAGTATCAAAAAGAAGCTTTCAATCTAAAAAAAAGTAGTAAAAAAGAAGTTATGGAAAAATTAAACTTGATAACAAAAAAACTCGTTTTTGAAAAGAATTGAATTCTTACGAAGATTTTGACAAAAATTTTGTTTAAATAATTGAATTCTGATTGGAAATTTTATGAAAATAGTAGATATTGAAAATCATTGAATTGCTAAAAGTCTTTAAAAATAATTAAATTTTATAAAGAAATCTGATAAAATTTTTGACAATAATTAAATGTCTGTGTGATATTTTATTAAATTTTTTTTGAAAATAATTGAATTCCTTAAAAAGCATTTTACTATTTACGAAAATAATTGAGGGCCTGGAACGGATAACTGCCTGCAACGCATGGTTTAAAAGGACTATACCAGTCAGACAGCAGTGAGAGGCCTAGAGACGCTCACTGTTGTCTGACTCGTATAGTCCCTTTCAACCATTCGTTGCAGGCAGTTATCCCTTCCAGGCCCTCAATTGAATTCTTGTGAACTATTTTATTAGAATTTTTTAAAATAATTGAATTTCCAAGAAAAAATTTTTTAATTTTTAAAAATAATTGAATTCTTGTGATGATTATTGTTATTTATGAAAATAATTAAATTTTGCAAAGAATTATATTAAAATGCCTTAAAATAATTGAATTTTCGAGAAAAATTTTGTAATTTATCAACATAATTGAATTCTTTCGAAGAATTATTTATGTAAATAATTGAATTCTTAGAATTCAATTCAGTTCAATTTATTCTTGTTATGCAAATTACAAAATTTTTTATTTGCAAATATTTAAATAATTTCATAATCAAAATTTAAAAAATTCATTTATTAAGTACACAATTAATTATTACCTACAGTTCATATTTTCTAAAATTTTAATAAATCCTTCGAAATAATTATTTTTATAAATAGTAAAATTCTTCGTGAGAATTCAATTAATTTAATTAAAAAGTAAAATTCTTTGGAGGAATTCAATTATTTTCAAAACAAGTTTAATTGAATTCCTCTGATGAATTCAAATATTTTAAAATATTTCCATAAATTTCAATTATTTCCTAAAATTTTAATAAATTCTTCAAAACATTTTAACTATATTTTTGTAATACAAAAAATTCTTTGCAAGAATTAAATTATTTTTAATCAAATTTAAATTAAATTACATGAAAGAATTTAATTATTTTCAAAAATTTCCATAAAATTCAATTTCAACAAGAATTTAAAATTCTCTAAAAATAATTCAATTATTCTTAAAATATTTTTAAAAAATTCTATATAAAAATTAAATTTCTACTTTCAATGCAATTTTTAAATATATTCGTCAAAAAAAAAAAAAAAAAAATTGAAAGAATTCAATTATTTTCAAAAAATAATAAAATTCTTGTGATGAATTCAATTATTTTAAATATACTTAATTTTAATAAAATTCTTTAAAGAAATTCCATTATTTTCGAAACATCTTTATAATTGAATTTCTCGAAAAAATTTCATTATTTTCAAATATTTCTATAAAATTCTTTATAACAATTTAATTATTTCTTAAAATTTTAATAAATTCTTGGAAACATTTTAATTATTTTTATAAATAGTTAAATTTTTCGCAATAATTCAATTATTATTATAAATAGTAAAATCTTTTGAAGAAATTCAATTAGTTTTAAAACATAATTTTAATTGAATTCCTCGGATGAATTCAAATATTTTTAAATATTTCCATAAATTTCAATTATATCCTAAAATTTTAATTAATTCTTCGAAACAATTCAACTATTTTTATAAATAGTAAAATTCTTAGCAAGAATTCAATTATTTTCAATTTACTTTTAATAAAATTATTCTTCATAAAATACAATTGCTTTTAAAATTTTCAATTAATATTATTAAAGAAATTCCATTAGTTTAATAAAAAATTCAAAGAAATTCTTCAAAAGAATTTAATTTTAAAAATATTAATAAAATTCTTTTTCGAGAATTCAGTTCTTTTCCTGAATAATAAAATTCTTTGAAGGAATTCTATTATCATCAAATTTTTTGATAAAATTCTTTGCAACAATTCGATGATATTCAATACATTAATTTTAAAATTGAAAATATTTGAAAAGAAAAATTATAAAAAAGTTAAGAAACAAAAAGCAAACAACAACTAACTTCAAACTGCGAACAGATTACCGAAACATGTATTTTATTATTATCAACTAATAATTAATTAATTAATGTTATAATTATTTTTATTTTATAATTAATTCAAAATTGTAATGACGAATAGAAAAGACTAAAATTTTGTTGAATATTAATTGTTTTGTCAAATTAAAATTAGGCAGTTTTTTGTTCTTTACTTCTAAACAAAATTAGAAAATTGTTAAACAACTGTGATTAAGAAATAGAAAATTTATTTATTTTGGTTTATTTTTGTTTATGAATCACAATTTTTTTAACAAAATTATTATATAAAATAGGACAACATTTTTTTTGACATTATGAAAATATAATTGTAACTTTATCAAAATTATTTTTATCATTTCAATTTAATTATTATTTTCTAGAATTTTTAACTAAAATTCTTCTTTAAATCAATTATTTACAATAATTTAAAAAAAAAATTCTGAGAATTTTCAAATGTATTTGTTTACAATAATTCAATTTTACGAAATTTCATCGATCATTCAGAAATTCTTCAATTACATATATATTTGACAATATATATTTATTTGAAAATAAAAACTATAAATAATTTCAATTAAATTTTTTGAAAAAAATTAATTCTACAGAATTGTTTGTAAAAAATATGAAAAATTCAGATTTTCAATAAGATTTCAATTTGGAACTTTTTCAAAATTCAATTATTTCTAAAAATTCACGCTGTTAGAAAATTCTACGAGAATTTAATTATTTAAATAATACAAAAATTAATAATTATTAAATATTGAATAATTTAATGTTTCTTAAATATTGAATCCTCATAAAGAATTTTATCAACAAAATTTTAAATAATTAAATTCTTTTGACGAATTTTAATAAAATTTTTAGAAATAATTACATTTTTCGAGGTATTTGATTAAAATTGTACGAAAAATAATTGAATTCCTGTAAAATTTTTATTATTTATGAAAATAATTAAACTTCTGCGTAGAATTTTAATAACATTTTTTTTTTTTTAATTGAATTCTTTTGCAAAATATTATTAAAATAGTACCTATATTGAAAATCATTGAATTTAGAACAATTTTTGCAAATAATATTGAAATTCTGCCAAGAATTTTATTAAAATGTTTGAAAATAATTGAATTTTGAAGAAGAATTTTATTATTTATAAAGAGAATTGAAATTTTTGACGAGAATTTCTTTAAATTCTAGAATATAATTTTATTTTTGCAAAAATTTATGTTCTTTAGAATGCACCGAATTCTAAAACTTTGAATCTAGATTTTATAATTACACTTTGAAAAAGATTTCAAAAAAAAGAAAAACTTGTTTATTATTTTTGATTAGAGAAAGGTGGAAAAGGGAACAAATCACGAAAAGTAGGAGAAATAGGTGATAAAATTGAAATAAGGGGACAAAAGTGAACCAACACTGTGATGCCTGCAGTAATATCAATTTTTGAAAAATTGCTTCTTAAATTTAGATTATCCAGAATGATTGTGATTTAATAAACATTAGTTGAATTGAATAAATAACCTGATTATTTATTTATTATTACTGGAAATTAATAAAAATTATTCTGTATTCTATTCCTATAATAAAAATATTTAGAAAATAAAATTTTCATTATAAAACTAACCTTGAATTTGTTGTTTACATTTAATTTTCGGCGCATTTTCATAATAAAGAATTTTGAAGCATATTAATAAAAACATGTATAATTAAAAAATTAATTAACAATTATAAACTAAAAAGAATAGAGCTTAAAGCTTTTTTCACAATTTCCCTGAAATTACAATTCAACCGTCTATTATTTTTCCGTGGATAAAAATTTCTATGAATTTTTTTGTATTTATGACTTTTTATTTATGTTAATATTACTGTCTAGAATTAAAACCCTTTTTTTCACAATTTTATTATATCGCGTGAAAGTAATAGGTCTATGTTTTCCATCCTCGAATCCCCTATTTAAATAATTGATATAGCAATTTAAAAACTAGTAAAACAAGCAACTTTACACTTTTAACTTATTACTAACTGACTGTTAATTTGCAATATTGATGTGCGAAATAAATTCTGCTTTTGCACATGAAATAAAAAGTTTTTTTTTTAAATTTCATACGAAAGTGTGCTATTGTTTCTTTAAGGGGTTTCATGTAAATTTCATTTAAGAATAAGAAGTTTAAGGTTTTAGTTATATAAGTATTTTTTTTTCTGTTGTTAACAACTTTGAAATATTAAAAAAAAATTATATTGTTCTCCAGGAACAATGTTTTCTCAACTAATGCTAAACGATATGTACATTGTAAAATATTACTGTGTGGTCTGTGGTTTTTGGCCTTTTACTAATAAACATATTAGTTTGTTTCAACAATCCGTATATTTTTTTGCTTTACTCTCAATAACTATACCATGTGTACGTGTTTGATTAACACTTAAAGTACACACACACACACACACACATATGAGCGATTTGTACAATGAAAATTTTATACAAAAACTTTGAAACCTTATATCTTTGTCTCAAATTGATAAAATTCAGTCGATTTTTCTTAATTGATATAGGAAATGTTCTAAGGGATATGACGAAAAATCTATTTTTGTTGATATAAAATTAATTTGTTAAAAAATATTTAACAATAAACAATTACATGTTTTTAAAAATGGAACACATTTGACAGAAATACCTGATGGGCGATCTGTACTCAGTGTGTACTTTAAGGGTTAATGAATTAAATTCTTTCTTTTCACTTGTGTATTTTATTATTAATTTTTTGGCATAGTAACTAAAAGTATTTTATATACTTTGCATTCAAATTAAAAAAAAATTAAATTTAGTTTATTCTCTTTTCTGCGTTTCATTTTTCCAATTGTGAATTTATTAACCCTATATAGAAGGAGTACGTTAATTTACTCACCCTCTAAGGAGTAGCTGGGGTGTCCCGACACCCCAAAGATGGATTATCTATAATTTGATAATACATCTGACCTTGAATTTTTAAAACAATAAGGTCCAGGACAGCACGTAATGTTCCAGTAACATTGAGGCAATATTGACAATGTTAAGACAGTGTTTTCAATATCGCTGTAATATTATGTGCTACTGGGGTAGGTGCCAACACTATAATGTTTTCCAACAATGCCCTTCCATTAGATATAACAATATCACGTCATTTAAAAGGTGATATCAATCTGAAAAGAAACTTTTCGTCTGATACAACAATTTAATTGTTAAACACAACTTCACCGGTTGATATAATGCTTATTGAAAAATGAATGCAATTAAGATCATTTTCATTCAATTTTTAGTGCAAGATAATTTTTAGTATATTTTCCATGCAATAAAAGTCTTATTTAAAATTGTGTCCAAAACAACTGTCATTAACAGAACTATAAATGTAACCTAAATGTTCCTTCTAATATTAAATTACAACACCAATCTTTAACTGTCAGAATTTTGTGTTTTTTAGGTAAAATTAACTTAAAAAAATCTAACAGTTTTTTTGTGTCTCCTGTAAAATTTTGAAAAACCGAGTTGAACACTCCAATAAAAAATTGTCTCGCAATAAAGGTTGAATAAGAATGATCTCACGAACTTATTTTTCTATAAGCATTATACAAACGTGAGGCGTCAAGAATTTGAATTGTTATAAACAATGGTCGTCACCAATCTTTAACTGACAGAATTTTATGTTTTTAGGTAAAATTTAACTTTAAAAAATCTATAAGGGGGTAGAAAACTTCAGAATTTGTGCAGAATATTTATAAAATATATCTAATAAAATTCTAAAAGTTAAATAATTGAATTGTTATAAATGTTGGCAAGCACCAATCATTAACTTTTTAAAAAAAATGTTTCTTAAAACTTTTTATTTATTTTATTTATAAACATAAAATATTCTTGATCAACCCCTTTTCTACCCCTTTAGATTTTTTAAAATTAAAGTTCACCTACCTAAAAAAACAAAATTCTGGCTGTTGAAGTTAAATTTTTGTATTTTTGGAAATTGTTTATTGTTTTTCAGACGTAAAGTTTATTTTATATTATGCTATATATTTAATGTCCTCAATTTATTTAGAACTAAAATTCATAAAAAACCACGAAACTATAATATTGTCATAAATACTCATATAGAAAATCACAAAACTCATTAATGTCCTCAATTAGTATACCTTAATAAAAATTCATAATTATTGATCAATAATTAAATATCAAAGGACGTTAGAGATTATTAATATTTATGAAAAATCATGAAATTCAAATCAAAAAAATAACTCATAGTCATAAATAATCATAAAAAAATACTTCAACTTTTAGTGCTGTAAAAACACTATATTACATTTCCACGCTAATTTAAATGGAAATGCTGTCAAAAGCGCAATTTTCATTCAAAGCAGTATGAGCTTACGAGTATTTTCATCTATAATAAGTTGATTTTCATTGGAAAACATTTTGGGCAGAGCTTTGGTCCGTTTGACGTGGAACGTCCCGTATATATATATATATATATATATATATATATATAAGTACTTTTAGTGGTCAAAAAATAAATATGTAATTAAAAAAAACTATTTCTGTTGAATAAGAGTAAAATTAATTAAAGGAATATTAATAATTATTCAACATTCCAGGGAATACATCTATACCGTCATCGATCGGATATAGATAAAGTTTGTGAAAGTCTATCAATGGGATCTCTTCTTCCTTTGTCGATTATATGCTTTAAATCTTTAGTGAGAAGCCGGAAATTTGTAAATTGGATTATTCATTATTTATTTACATAATATTAACCCTTTGAGATACAGTGCTTTTAATTACTTTTATATATTATTGTATGCCTCTGCAATTAACAAATATATATTAAACTCAGAACATGTTTCTTTCAGAAATTTTGCTTAACTTTTTAAAACTTTTGTTATCAAACATATAAGATCTATCATTTTGAATTTAAAAGAACTAGGGCCATCGGAAAAAAAGACATTTAAATGTTAACGAATCTGGCTAAAAATCCTTACTCGGGGGTTTTCGGGGTCGCTGAATCCAAATCCGTTGTCGAAAGTTCAAAATTCAAAATGGCGGCTTCAAAATGGCGCCCAAAAAAATTTTTAAGTTTACGAATCTTTCTGAAAATGCCTTAAAATGCCTACTCGGGGGTTTTCGAGGTCGCTGATTCCAAATCCGTGGTCAAAAATTCAAAATTGCAGCTTTAAAAAGGCGACAAACAAAAATTTTTAAATTAACGAATTCGTTAACTTTTCAATTTTTTTGGTCGATATTTTGAAGCCGCCATTTTGAATTTTGACTTTTCGACCACGGATTTTGAATCAGTGACCTCAAAAACATAAAATATGACAATATCATGATTTTAAAAAAAAAATTTTTTTTGAACACTTATGGCACAAAAACTTTATTTTCACTCGACTGTGAAGGGGTTAATTAATCTTAATTGGTGGCATTAATTTAATAATCATCTTAAATTGCAGTTAAAGAGAATGTTTAATCTCATATCCGAAGATTATACCTTAATTTCAAAAAACAAACATGAGTTAAAAGTTTTTCTAAATATTTCAAGAAGATCAAAACTTTTTATTACAGTATACGTAGGTATGTTTCAACCTCCATAAATAAATTCATATGTAAAAATGACTAATAGTAAAATGAAATATCAAAATATACTTATCTTACACAAATTAAATATTAATATAATCACTAGCGATTATATTAAAAAAAGGACTCAGTTAATTTTTCTTGCAAAATGGTCCTAAAATAGTCTTTTAACATTTCCAAATTAAAAAGTGTGCAGTTTAGTGAAATGACATATTTGGGGAATGATCATGCGACTCGATAATTAAAGAAACAAATGTCTAACGTGTTGAATTCACTTCAAATATCTTATATGGTAATAGTAAAACTCACAGAGAACATTTTAAATCTAAAAATCATGTATTCTTTTTTGTAACTCTTATTGAATCTTTAATTTTCATTCGCCATACTGGATCTGCCACTTTGTAATTTGTACTACTACGCATGCGTAACATTGACAGAACACTACTGCGCATGCATAACTAGAATACTACTGTGCATGCGTAACATTGATAGATCACTACTGCGCATGCGTATATGTACGATGAATAAATGATAAAAGTCAAACGATCAAACGATGAAGTACGGAATTACACGAACGACGGACGACAAAACGACAACGAATATCTTAATATTATAAAAAATAATAAGGAGAAAATTATAGGAGATTATGATCATTATTAATTCTTACCGATGTTTCACTAAAATTTTAGGGTATACAAGTATTACGTGTGTAATCTTTCTGATTGTGTCATTCTTACCACCACTTATATATAAGAGATTGAATATTAATAAGACATATGAAGCAAATTTACCACTCAAAATGGATTATTATTATTTCGACAAAAATGATTATTATGTGTTGACAACTATTCACCAATTTACTGCAGGATTATATGGTGTAGCAACAGTTGTGTGCGTCGATGTACTGCTTTTTACTTTTTGTCTACATGTTTATGGATTGTTTACCGTTTTAAGGTAAAACTATTATTTTTAAACTAGCTAAAAAAACGCGCAAGTGTAGTTTCTCGTTCTGCTTACAATATAGATAATTAATAATGATTATTATAGTTAATAATTTCTTTTCTTTATAAATGCTTTTAAGCTCGATTCACATCAAAATTACACTATATAATTAATATAATTTTCAGATTCAAGTTAAACCACATTATGATCAATGAAGAAACATTAGAATATCTTACTGATACCAAAAAAATGTATAGAAGAGCTAGTGATTGTGTTGTGGCTTATATGAAAATACTTAAGTTTGTATACTATTATTTTATTTTTATTTAATAAAAGGAGTAAGGTTATTAGTTTCTTGTCAAGTCAATTATAGACAAGAAACTATAACCTTACACTTTTAATTAAATATATTCAGCGAATATTCCAAACTACATCTATAACAATTATAATAATATTTATTAGCTATAATTATTATTATGTTGCACGATTTAGCATTCAAAATCATTCATGCATATGTATACTATAGAAGAATTGCGCGCTAAAGCGCGCCTAAATTTTCTAATTTTTTTGTGTTATTTAAATTATTTGGCATCACAGTAAAAAATAATGACTATACTCAAATGCACTGCCATTTGGATTTTAGACTATATCAAAAATATTAATTCATTCTCCATCGTAAAAAGTACAAATCCAATGACCAAAATTATGATAACCACTAAAAAGTATATTTAAATATGCTTTCCATTTATTTGCAAAACAAATAAGTTTTTTATATTAAAAAAATGAAATTTTTTTCAATGATTTCTCTTTTTAGTGGCACCTTATTAACAACATTCCAAGATTTCATTAATTTTCTGAATTTCTGTTTTATATAAGTGCGCATGGTATAATTTGTAACTCTAACGAAAATCGTCAATGAAAGCAATTAATATTATTTAGAGAGTAATAAAGATTTTTTTGAATTAAATAAAAAATGAAAATACAATATAAATAAATTTAAAAATTAAAAGTAGTATAATATTTTCAATCAAAACGTATCAAAAAACAGAAGCATAAACATGACTAACTTCAGGCGTAGACAGACTGGACAGAATGAAAGAATGAATACGACGATTATTGTATAATTAATAACCTAATATTTATTGTAATAACAAGCCTAAATAATAAGTATCACAGCAAATAAAGTTTTGAAAAATAATATTTTTTTTCGTTTTCGATTAATTTTAATTCTTAATAATAATAATTTAATATTTAATTAATTTTAATATAATTTTTAAAGTTAAATTAATAATTGGATTAAAAATTTGAACCGAATTAGTTTTGTTTGCTTTATTAAGTAGACATTCATCTTTCAATCGTCAAAAAAAAAAAAATTGAACGCAGTATTATAAAATTTTGTTTTCTGTTGAATAGATTGATTGAGGAGATCAATAATGTTTTTTCATATTGCTTGTTATTATCAATTGCAATTATTATACTATTAGTCAGTTTCCATGGGACTGTGGTAAGTTTTTTTCATAATATTCATAATAATTATGTTACTTGGTAAATTATAAAATAAACCTTAGGTTCGAAAAACATTATTTTTCACTTTTTTGTGATTTTTCTGATTTTCTATATATTCAACAATCGCTGATCCAATGTAGCGAACAAAATTGGATCCGCCATTTTGAATTTAATTCACAAAAATAATTAATATATTTATTTGGAATAATTTTTAACATAAATTTTTTTCTGCAGATACTCTATAAACTAACAGAAATTAGATTTGTTTGTGAGGAATTACTGCTTGCAGTGGGTCAATTGTTGCACTTATTTTTCAATTGTTTCACAGGACAATTGGTTAACACTCAGAATGCAATTTTACCCTCAGTTATGTGAGTTAAAATCGAGGGGGAATTTACTCAGGAGTCAAGTGTACACTCTCCTGGTAATACTCGGTAATACTTGGTAATACTTGGTAATACTTAATAATACTTGATTATTGGTAACTGGATAATTGTTAATGTAATTATTGTTAATAACAATGGTAATTACTAAAATAAAAATAATTTTTTAGCAAAATAGACATAAATTACTTAAATAAACATTTTGTTTGCAAAAAAAAAAAAAAACAATTGTTTTATGAACAGAGTTACCTATTTGTTAATTAACATTTTCAACAAATTAAATAAATTGCATTATCCATTATTATTTATCTAGTACACATACTAGACTAATTTAAATTAATTTCGATCCTGTGCAATGGAAAAATAAAAAAATAAACATGATTTTTTCTAAAAAATATTGTAAATTGTTAACTTTGAGTAACAAAAAAATATAAACAAATAAAAATTCAAAAATCGGTTTAGAGGAATATCTGTTATAAATTTTATCTCCTTTAATTTAAGTTTCATACTCGGAGACGTTTAAGGAATAAAATACAATTTTAATTTTTTTGTTAGGAAGTGAAGAACATATTTCTTTATTAACATTTTATAAACAAATAATATAAAAAATTATAAAAAATTTTTAAAAAATATTCAAATAGTACAATTTAAAACGAAAAAACACATATTTTGATTTTTAAATCTGTTAACTGGGAACTCGAGAAAAAAATTTTTTAATTTAGCAGTACTAAAAAACTCAATTGTTAATAAGTTTTACAAAAAAAAATTTTTTGTCTTAATATTTTCAGGGATTATTCTTAGCCACATTAAGAGTAAAACAAATATATTTTGGTTCAAAATGAAAATTTTTAAGATTTAGGTGATCCGTTTGGGAAATTCTGACCCTTAAAAGAAAATTCAAACCAATTGAAATGATATTTTTTTATTTACGTTTTAAAAAAGAGAAAATTCTCAATTAAATTATTATTGTCTTTTGTATGTACAAAATATTTAATTATTTATTTCTCTGCGTTTCATTGTAGTTTTTATCTTAAATAAGATTTTTAAATAATTTTGTTGTAAATTTTACGTACACCCAGAGAAATGGTATATTTGTCTCAGAACCAACTAGACTTTTTATTTGTTTGAAATAAACTTTATTTGGTTTAAATAAAATTTTATTTATCTCAAATATATGTTTTATTTGTGTCGAATAAAATTTTTATTTAAAAGAAATAAAAAGTCTAGTTGGTTCTGAGACAAATATACGTTTATTTAACTCAAATAAAATATATTTGGTTTAAATAATATTTTTCTCTGGGTGTATAAGAAAGTGAAATTCAACGTATTATATTTTTGCGAATAAAGCTTAATACTTAATAATATGTATTTAATAAATAATAATTCAGCAAAGATATTAATATTTGAATGCGGGAATATTTTGGAAATAATAGGTAATACTTAGTAATAAGTGGTAATAATTGGTAATACTTGGTAATACTTAGTAATAATGATAATAAGTGGAACAGGGAGTCAAGTGTACACTATTTTTACTAGTAAATTCCCCCTCGGTTAAAATCATTAGAGTAACGATTATAATATTTAATTTCTCATCCTGAATGAAATTATATTATATCCTAAATTAATATATTATTATTTAAACATTAGATACGATGTTGAATGGTACAATGCATCACCAGAAATAAAAACCTTAATACAGATAATATTGTATCAAAGTCAGAAAGAATGTAATATATATGTTGGTAAAACGTTAGTTTTATCTAACGATTTTTTTGCTACAGTAAGCTATTTACTTAATTTTTTCTCTCAAAAAGCACTTAAAATTACAATCTCTTTAGAACTCTGCAATCTTAATAGAAAATTTATATTTTCTAAGAAGTTGCAAACTATGTATAAATAATTTATTTTCAAAAATGTGCATAATTTCGTGTGTTTTTATTGCAGATTATAAAAACAATATTTTCTTACTTAAATCTTCTCAATTCGCAACGTTAAATAAGAATAATTGAGAAAAAAAAATACAATTTTTTGTCTAGTGCATAGAAACCTAATACTTACTTACTTACTTTTATTGTAAAGGTATAATTTTGGCTTCATCTATGTCCCTTCATATCAATGTTTTGAATATTATACGTGAAAATAAAATTATCTATGAAGATGGTCTTTATTATGTATATTATTAAGTATTGTAATATCAAAATTAAAAAACTACAGTTTATTCAACAGTAGAAGCGGAGTTACTATCATTTTTGTTATCAAATTCAATTTGATACATGTAATTCAACAGATCAATGACACGACGAGAGTAGCCATATTCATTGTCATACCTGAAATTTTTTCCTTAATTAAAAAGTTTTCTTCATACTTTGAAAAATGCTGTCCAAAATATAAAAGTAATCTATTAATATGTCTTCAGGGTTGCCATATAAGTTAGGGAATATAAGTCAGGGAAATCAGGAAAAATTCAGGAATTTTTATTATAAGTACTGGAAAAAATTAAATTTTTGAAATTTATAAAAAAATTATAAATTTCTTTAATCAGTTGTTTTTAAAATTTCTTTTTAAATTTATTAAAAATTGATATTGTCAAAATTTTTAAATTAAATATAATGATAGAAAATTGCATTTATTCTTAAATTTTTTTTTTTAAATTCTCACCGAAAGAATTCAATTATTTTTAAAAATTTTGATAAAATTCTTTATAAAAATTCAATTTTAAGAAATATTCATAATTATTGAATAAATTATTTATTTTTGTATGTAAATAATTGAATTCTAGAAAAATTTCCTAATAAAAATTTATTAAAAAATGAATTTTAGGTAAAATTTTAGATAATAATTGAATATTAGAAGAGATTGTGTGAATTTTTATAGAAATAATTGAATTTTTAATAGGGTTCAAATTAAAATCTTTTGAAAATTTAAATTTATTGTTACAATATTCTTATGAAATAAAATAATGACTTTATCACTCTGTCATCTTAAATTTATTATATAAGTTATTGAATTTGAGATTCTTAATTCCTATATAGAAAAATAATAATGATTAAATATTTTTTTTAAAAAGAAGTTATTCAGTGTCAGTGAAAAAGTGAAAATTTTGTCTGGAAATCAGGGAAAAACAAAATTAAAGTTTTATGGTGTAAACATAAAAAAAACAACCCTGGTGCAACCCTGGTGTTCTTAGTAATATTTGAAAGAATGTATATAAATAATTGTAATTACCATGCGACAATTTTCATAAAATTATTTGTTTGTGGAATGCCAGCTTTTGCATCAAATATACAAGAATATGGGGAATTATTGAAATCTGACGAAACACAATCATCTTCAACATAAGCAATAATATTTTTCATTTCACCTTCAGATGCAGTTTTCATACATTTTTTAACATCCTCGTAAGTTGTTTCTTCATTTAATCTATAAAAATTAATTTTTTTGTTATAATATTCAACTTATATTATTATACTATCATTTTTTGTTTCTTACTTGAATGTTATGTCACAAACTGAAACATTGGGAACTGGCACTCTAAATGCCAATGCCGTTATTTTATCTCTCAATTCTGGAATAACTTTTGTCACACATTTAGCTGCTCCTGTTGACGTTGGAATAATATTCTGTAGACATCCACGTCCATCTCTCCATTTCTTTATATTAAAATATTTTGCAGTTTACAAACAAATTATAATTTTGGTTACAATTATTTTGCGCATTAAAAACTTTCAATTTTCAAAATTAAATAAATAAATAAAATAAAATTTAAAACTAATTATTAACTTATAATAATCTGATAAAATTCTGTCTTTTATTCATACTGTCTGCAGTTTGATGTTAGTTTTTGTTAAAAAATTTTGTTAAGAAATTATCTAAAATTTTATTTTATTTATTTAATTAAAGTTTCTAGGGCTAATGAGCCCTTCAAGGAACAGTACAATATAAAATATCTATAAAATTAATGATATGAAATATAAAAATATCTCCATCGAAAAATTAGTGGCACACTTCAGAATTTTTGAGCCAGTTATGTTATAATTTCAATAATTAAAAAATGAAAACTAACTTTTCCACTTGGACCATCGAGTGTTTTTTGTGTAGGTGTAATGGCGTGAATTGTTGTAACCATTGCCTGATCGACTTTAAATTTATCGTTCATCACTTTAATTAGAGGAGCACAACAATTTGTTGTACAGGAAGTTGCTGACACTACTCGTCCTCCTTTCTCTGCTGTATAACATTTATGATTCACTCCGTAAACATACATTGGAGCATCAATGGATGGTGCTGTGATAATTACACGTTTTGCTCCAGCATCCAAGTGACGCTATAATTATTACATTTTAGTTTATTATCATAATGTTTAGAAACTAGAAAATAAATTTTCATTTTTAAGCACAAGTTCTATGAAAACTTAAAATAACCCCCATTAATGATTCTAAAAAATTGAATCAAACTCCCCAACTATATATAAAAAAGGTATAAAAAAAACTTTAAATCTACGTTAATAAAAAAAAAATGAGCATAAAATTAAATTTCAGGTCAATAATAAACTTACCGCGGCTTTTTCTATAGTAGTAAAAATTCCCGTTGCTTCTATCACAAAATTAACATCAACAGTGGACCATTTTAATTTACAAGGATCTTTCTCGCGTGATGTTTTTATTCGCCTCTCTCAGTCAATAAAACAAATTTTAATTAATTTTCTCATTTAATAATAATAAAAATTTTATATAAATAATTATAATAAATAATGTAATTATAAATAATTCTGAAATTATTAAAAATTTTTTTTTTAAAATTACTTCTTTTTATTTCCCACTGTTTTCTATATTAACTTGAAAAATTATATTTTCAAATCTGTTTCAAATTTTTGGACAATTAATCTTCATACAATGCTTTTCAGTAATAATCGAAGAAACATTTCTTTTTTTTAAACAAAAGTTATAAAATTAATTTTTTTTAAAAATAAAATTACCACTTTGTGGAGAAAAGCATCTAAATATAAAATTTTTTTGAAACTTTCTTTTCAATACTTTTCGAATCTTTTTAATTTAAATGTATTAGTCTCTTTAATTCCTTTCTTTATTGTGTATATTTTAAATTTAATAATTTCAAATTTATCATTGAATTAATAAAATAAGTTATTAATTTTTTGAAAAATAAATTAATTTTTAAATAAGAATCGAATAAATAATTACCACCAATAATTATTGTTTCAGAATCAAATTCAATTGGTTCTGTGAAGGTTCCATGAGTTGAATCATATTTAAATAAATATATCATATATTCAGTGTCAATAAACGGATCATTGATATGTTTAACCTGTAAAATTGAATTTTCCTTATAAAATGAAAATAATTTTTCATTAAAAAAAAATTTTTTTTTTAATTTATACCTAAAAATAATAAAAAAATGAAACATTTGACAATTTTATAAAATTGCCATTCCTTTTTACCTCCAAATTTTTTTCTAAACAAATTCTCAAACACATTCTTCCTATTCTTCCAAAACCATTAATTCCTATTTTTGCCATTTTTGGCGATTATTTATAAAATAAAATTTTGTACCTCGTAAAAAAATTTCAATAGAAAAAAAAAAATCGAATTTTTATTGTGTCAAGATAGTATTATTATAACTGAACTTAGATGGAAATAAATAAAATTCATTTGTTTCTATTGTACGAAAAAAAAATATTTTATAAATTAATATATATCTTTAATATCTATATATTAGTAATGATTGTAAAGTTCCCTAACTTTTTAAATAGGTTTTCAAATATTTTCAGTTTTAAAATTAATGTATTAAAAACCATTGTATTCTTGCAAAGAATTTTGTCAAAAAATTTGAGAATAATATTGAATTCCTTATCGCAGAATTTTATTATGATCATAAAAATAAACGATTTTTCGAGAAAAATTTTATTAAAATTTTCAAAAATCCTAATTAAATTCTTTTGCACAATTTCTTTGAACTTTTTTTTAAATAATAGAGTTTCTTTAATAATTTTAATTGAAAATTTTTAAAGTAATTTCATTTAATAATTGAAAATTTATAATTGAAATTTAACGTTTAATTATTGAATTTTATTAAAATTTTTAAAAATTAATTGAATTTAACAAAGAATTATTTCAACTTTTTAAAATAATTTTCAAAATAATTTTTGCGATGAATTTTACTTCGAAAGGATTTCTTAACAAGAATTTATTTCAAATTATTGAAAATAATTGAAATTCACCGAAGAATCTTATTATTAATAAAAATAATTGAAATCTTCTAAAGAATTTTATTATTTATGATAATAATTGAATTCTTGAGAAGAATTTCATTATTTAAGAAAATAATTAAAATCTTCAAAAGAATTTTACTTTTTATGAAGATAATTGAATTATTTAGAAAGAATTTTATTAAAATTTTAGAAAATAATTGAATTCTTTTGAAAAATTCTATGTAAGGGTTTATCAACAAAAATTTATTTCAAATTTTTTAAAATAATTGAAATTCTGTAAAGAATTCAATTATTTTTGAAAAAGAATTGAATTCTTGACAAAAATTTGTTTCAAATTTTTAAAAATAATTGAAAATTATTTATGAAAAAGAATTGAATTCCTGACAAGAATTTGTTTCCAATTTTTGAAAATAATTGAAATTCTATATAAAGAATTCAATTATTTATGAAAAAGAATTTAATTGTTGACAAGAATTTTTGTTTCAATTTTTTGAAAATAATTGAAATCCACCGAAGAATCTTATTATTAATGAAAATAATTGAAATCTTCGAAAGAATTTTATTTTTTATGATGATAATTGAATTATTGCGAAGTATTTTAATATTTAAGAAAATAATTGAAATCTTCAAAAGAATTTTACTCTTTATGGAGATATAATTGAATTTTTAGGAAGAATTTTATTAAAATTTTTGAACATAATTGAAATCCTTTGAAAATTTTTATTATTTATAATGAAAATAATTGAATTCTTTAGAAGAATTATTGTATTCAAATTTTTCAAAATATAAACATTAATATTTAATTATGTACCTACTTAATAAGTTAATTTTTTTGATTTTGAATATTGAATTATTCAAAACTTTATATTTGAAAATAATAAAATTTTATAATTTGCATAATAATAATAAGTTAAATGCGACGTTCCGCGCGCCTAACGTTTGCTAGTTATTATAATAAAATAAAATTATAAAACAAAAAAAAAAGAATTTTATTCCGTTATTAAATTATTTTCTTCAATTTTAATCGAAATAATATTATTTAGGTACAAATTTTCTATTATAAAATAAACACTATAAATAAAAGACAACACAAAATGTAAATAATAAACTATTCTGATTCATACTTTTCTCTATTGATAATAAGGTAAACTCGAAAATTCTAATCATCAGAAAATTTAAAATAATTTGAAAATGTTAGTCAGTCTAAAAGAAATCGTGACAAAGTAATCATGTATAAATCAAAGATAGTGAATACAATCCAAGCGATCATTTCTAATTTTCCGGATGGTCTACAAATCGAAAAATTAGATGGTAATTTTTTTCGTATTAAAAAAAATGTTTTTTAGAATTTTACTATATGTAATAGTAATAATTAAACAAATTTAATTAATTTTCAGATGAATATGAAATGTGGACACAAAAATCAATTCCATATCTCAAAATGGGTTTTCACAGTTTATACGATTTAATAAGGGCATGTCCTGAAATAAAAACCACTAAAAATAAGCAGAACGAGACTGTTTATACTATAGTACCGATTAATAATTCATCATCTAAAGATGAATTTTCTAGATTCGAGAAAAAGGTATTTGAAATGGTGTATTTTTTCAAAATTATTAAAAGTAAAAAAAAAATAATAATCGATTGATAAATATTTGATTTATTTAATATTATAATTAATTATTATTAATATTCAATAATTCATTGTCATAAAGTCTAAAAATATTAATTAATTAAATAATTTTTAGTTCTGTAAAACAATCATAATTTTCTAATTCAAGATACAAGTTTTTTATTAATTTTATTTAAAAAATATCGTTTTCATTTAAAGAATTTAAAAAAAAAATTTTTTTTTAGAATACCAGAAGCGAAAGAAGATTTATGCCTTATAGAAGACCGCGAACATCTGTGCCTCGTAGATCAGGGACTCCAGTGAATTTCGATTCCTCTGCGAAAGGTAAAATTACAATTAAAGCTATTTATTATTATTTTTTATTTTACTTATTATTCTTGACTTTAATAAATAAATGTGGATTCAATTTTAAAACATTTAATTCATTTAAATAAATATTATTTGATATAATTAAATTATTATTTGCTAATAGACAAATAATCGATTTATTTGAGTCAAATAAATTTTTTTTTCGTTGTTTTTTTTTAATATATAATAAAAATTAGTGACAAAATTATAATTAAATTTTGTGATACATCACTGAGAAAAAAATTTTTTTAATCAAAAAATAAGTTCCCAAACAAAAATATGTATGTTTGATATTTTATAATTGAACCAAAATTTTTATTGAATCAAATTTATCATGTTTTTAATCAAAATTATTGTTTAATTCAAAAATAATTTTTATTTGACTGTATAATAAAGATAACAATGTTTGAATCAAATATATCGTTTTCTCAGTGATTGTTTATACTTTATACATTATCATATTTATATTTATTAAAAAGAAAAATTTTTTTTTAGATTCTTCTCGATCGAATTCTTCTTTTCGTCCAAGTTCAGCTTCATCGATACGCACCACGTCATCTTACAAAAGTAAAAATTCGAGAGGTCCTCAAATTACAATTAATCCACAGAAAAAAATGGTAAAATTATAATTATTATTTAAGAAAATTAAAAATTTAGATTAAAAATTATTTTCCTTATTTGTTATATATACATATATACAGAAAAGAAAAGAAAATTTAATCATTTATTTTTAAAAATTAATTTTAAGTTAAATTTTTTTCTAGGACAATGTTAATGAACCAATTTTGAATGGTCAACAATTGATTGGCGACGATTTTTTCCTTCAAATTGCAATCAAAACATTGGATTCAAAACTTTATAGAAAGTCAGGTAAAAGTCTTTTTTTATTTCTATTTACTTATTTTTTAACATATTTATATTTATAATTTTTGTTTAATTTTTCTTAAATTATTTATCTAAGATATGTTAATGGTAATTTTTTTTATTTTCCATAATTAGTTATATATATAGATTATTTTTGTTTTTCTTTCTGATATTCTTTTAATAACTTAATAATTGTTAAAGTTTTTTAATTATTATTAATAACAGGAATATAAATAACCAATAAAATTAAAAAAACCAATAAAATAATAAGGTAATAATAATAAGGTAATAATAATAATAATAATAATAATAATAATAATAATAATAATAATAATAATAATAATAATAATAATAATAATAATAATAATAATAATAATAATAATAATAATAATAATAATAATATAATAATAATAATAATAATAATAATACCTAATAATAAATAGTAAATAAACAGTGTTATCTTTATTTTTCATTAATTGATAGTTTTTAAATTAATTATCTAAGAATTTACTTATTTGTTATTAAATAATTAAATTATTATTACTTTTTTAAATTTATTTATTATTTTATATTTAACAATGCAATTAATTGATTTCTTAGAAGATTTCTAAAGAATATATTTTATGTTTATAAAATAAAATAAAATAAAAAAAAAAGTAAAAAATGTAAATGTAAAAGAATAAATTATAAAATTATAAAATTATTAATAAATTTTTTTTTAGAAAATGCTCCATTATATAGCGGTTTATGCGTCTCTGGACAATCAATTAGAGCTTGTACAAGAAGACTTAAAACCATAGAGACAATTTCGAATAAAGTGACAATAATGTTAGGATCTGTCGATATTTACGAGGTATGTATATTAATTCTTGCTTTCTACTATTTTCTACTTAAATTAAATACAAATTATTTTTATTTTCATTTTACAAGTTACATGAACAAAAAATAGAATGAAAAAAAATTTATTTTTAATATCTATTTATGTTATATTATTTATGAATATTTAAAAAAAATATTATTATTAATAATTAATTATAAAATATTAAAATATTAATAATATAATAATAAAAAATAATAATATACATATAATATAATTATAATAATAATAATATATAATATAATAAAGTATAATAATATATTATTTTGGAATAGCTTGTAATTTATTTATTATTTATTTATTATGTAGGATTTATTATTATTTTTATTTACTTATTGTTTGTTTAATATTATTGTTTGTTAATTAAATATTTATTATTTATAAAATCATTATTATTCATCATTATTAAATTAATATTGTTAAGATCAATTTTTTTTAAAGTTATTTATTGTTGAATTTATTATTATCAAAATTAATAAATTTAATTAATAAATATATTTAATTAATAAATCTAATGAGAGAAATTTAAATTTCATCGGAGAATTAAATTTTTATGTAGACATTTAATTAAATTATTTATAAATTTGTATTTATTTACAATTATGAGAGGAAATGAATTACTAAATTTTAATAATGAAACATGTTTTTGATAAATTTATAAATTTAATTATTTAGTTAATTAATGAAAATTTTTTTTAACGTTACAATTTAGGGAAGAGATTTAAAACAAATGAAAGAGGATTATTTGTTACTTCTCGATACATTGGAGGAGAAGTTTAATCTACCAAAATCGTCAATAACAATTGGAACAATAGCACCATTGGCCAATGTAAATTTTAGGACACAATATGATGAATACAGTACTCTAGTTTGCTTTAATAATTGGTTACGACAATTAGTTGACAATAGATGTGACGAATTAGGACAAAGAAAATTTTACTACAAGATCATTGATTTTCACAAGGAATTATCAACCGACATTGAGGGAGTTAATTATGATTATTTTCAAAAGTACGTTTTTTTCTTAGATTATTTAAAAAAAAAAAAAAAATTACATCAGTTTTGAATAGAAATTTGATAATTTTTTCAGTTATAATTAAAATAAAAAATTTATTACTTCTAACTATTTAAATTTGTTTTCAGTGACGGAAGAAATGTTTCTGGTACGCGACACGCTTACGTTCTGCTAAATCAAGTGGGACGATCGAAAATTGTCAGTCTTTTTTTTATCAAAGCATTAGAAAATAAAAATTATTTTTCAACAAAAAAAAGTAAAATTTATGATGAGTTTTCAGAGGAATTAAACTGGTTGTAATTGACAAAAAACAAATCATATTTTCCTCTTCTTTTTTTTCTTCAAAAATCTTTTAATTTTCTTTTGTATCTTAAATATAGTTAATCCCCTCGTATATTTCAAGATACTAAAAACAAAATTCAAAAGATTTTATGAATTAAAAAAGTGAGAAAATGTATTTGAAATCTGTAATTAGAATTTTAATTCGAAATTCATATATGTATAATTATTTTCTGTGCGTGGATTGTTTTTTTTTTTGTGAAAGCAAATTGAAAAAGTTTTAAACTTTTTTTTCAATAGTTGCAAAACTGTGATATGAATATTTTTAATAGTAGACAATTTTATTTACTTTGTATTTTATATTTATATATTAATATTGTTATTTGACAATAATTGGCATTCGAACACTATTTACAATATGTTGTACTTTGTAGATATATATTTAATATTACAATAAAAGGATATTGAAAAAAAATTTTTTTCTTTTAATAACAATTTCAACAAAGTTTTTAATTGTAACAAGTTTAAAGAAAGGCTATAAAAATAAATGATTTATTTACATTTTGTCTGATAAATGCGCTATCTGAGTTTTATATTAAAATATTTTTAAAAATTGAAAAATATTTTAGTAGATTTGGAACGAATTTTCAAAAAGTTGGGCAAGATCCTCTTCACTCTGTTCTCGAGGTGCTAGTTTTGTGATGCGATGCTGAAATTTAATTCATTATTGTTAATTATAATTATGTTTATATATTAAAAAAAAAAAAAAAATCTACCTGAGGCAAAGTTCCTTGAACAAGATTTGGAATGTCCTCCTTCTTAAAGCCAAGTTCTCCCAATCCGTTTTCAACTTTCATTATTCTCATATAATCCCTAACAGTGTCGGCTAAAATTTTACCAGCGTCCTCACGTTTTGCTTGACTAACATCAGCGCCAAGCAGTTGTGCTGCTTCCAAATGTCTCTCTGGACATGCATTTCCGGTAAAGGAAAATACAGCTGGTGCTGAAATCACAACTGAAAGTCCATGCGGCACAATTGGATGATTATCACTGTAGCCCTATTAGAAGGATTAGAATTAAAGAAATTTTTATTTTTTATCAAATAATTAATTAATTTTTACATATGTCACGCTCTATTATGCTTAAAAATATTGTTGTCTTTGTTATAAACAAATAAATGAACAAAAGCTGTTGTTTTAATATTATTTTTTGTCTCACTGTGTTTTGGAGCGTCACATATATAGTTAAAGAAATTATACTGTAATAATATTATAACTAACATTTATTGTAATATCATTTACAATAAAAAAAATATTCAAAATACCTTTGGCTGAAAATTACGAACATTCCCACTAATGGGATAGGAAAGACCGTGACATAAATGAACACCAGCATTTCCAAAACCTACACCAGCCATTGTACTAGCCAAATGCATATTACTTCTTGCTTCCAGATCATCAGAATTGTAAACTGCTCGTTCAAAGTATCTGCCAATAGAATTAAGACATTTTTTTTTCGTTGGTAAAATTAACTCCTTATTTGTTTAGGGAAAAATAAAATTTGTATATTTAATATTTAGTCCTGAGTTTTTAATTAAAAATTACTGAAATTAAAAGTTAATTGAAAAAAGTATTTCTAAAGATTGAGAGCACATGCGCGCGCAGTATGTAAAGAGTGGAGGGAGTACGTGGGTACCAATCACAGTACACTTCCCACTCCTTCCGCCCGGCGTTCTTAACAAAACCGTCGTCAGAGAAATGACATAGTCATGCAATAGAATTGACATTTGAAACAATTGAAAAGTAACAAAATTAGCATTTAACACAATTGTTATGCAACAAAATTGACATTTAGCATAATTGAAAAGTAACAAAAATTGACATTTAACACAATTGAAAAGAAACGAAATTGACACTTAACACAATTGAAAAGAAACAAAATTCACATTTAACATAATTTGTCACGCAACAAAAGTAACATTTAACACAATTGTCCTGCAAAAAAATTAACATTTAACACAATTTAAAAGTAACAAATTTGACATTTAACACAATTGAAAACAAACAAAATTGTTATGCAACAGAATTGACATTTAACACAATTGTCCTGCAACAGAATTAACATTTAACACAATTGGCATGCAACAAAATTGACATTTAACACAATTATTGAAAAGAAACAAAATTGTCATGCAACAGAATTGACATTTGAAACAATTGAAAAGTAACAAAATTAGCATTTAACACAATTGTTATGCAACAAAATTGACATTTAGCATAATTGAAAAGTAACAAAAATTGACATTTAACACAATTGAAAAGAAACGAAATTGACACTTAACACAATTGAAAAGAAACAAAATTCACATTTAACATAATTTGTCACGCAACAAAAGTAACATTTAACACAATTGTCCTGCAAAAAAATTAACATTTAACACAATTTAAAAGAAACAAATTTGACATTTAACACAATTATTGAAAAGAAACAAAATTGTCATGCAACAGAATTGACATTTAACACAATTGTCGTGCAACAGAATTAATATTTAACACAATTGGCATGCAACAAAATTGACATCTATCACAATTGTCATGCAACAGAATTGACATTTAACATAATTGTCATGCAACAGGATTGACATTTAAGATTTAACATAATTATTTTAGTGCTAATTTAAAAATTAATCATTTTTATTTTTTTTTATTAGTCAATTTAAAAATTCACGCTAATATAATTATGTTAAATGTTAATTCTGTTGCATAACAATTGTGTTAACTGTCAATTCTATTGCATGACAATTGTGTTAACTGTCAATTCTATTGCATGACAATTGTGTTAAATGCTAATTAGTAAATTTGATACTTTTTAATTGTGTTAAATGTCAAGTTTGTTGGATGACAATTATGTTAAATGTCAATTTTGTTGCATGCCAATTGTGTTAAATCTCAATTCTGTTGCATGACAATTGTGATAAATTTCAATTCTGTTGCATGACAATTGTGATAAATTTCAATTCTGTTGCATGACAATTATGTTAAGTGTCAATTTTGTTGCATTACAATTATGTTAAATGTCAATTCTGTTATTGCATGACAATTTTGATAAATTTTAATTCAATTCATTCAAATGTCAATTGAGTTAATTGTCAATTCTTATGCATGAAAATTATGTTAAATGTCAATTTTGTTGCAGGACAATTGTGTTAAATGTCAATTCTGTTGTATGCCAATTGCGTTAAATGTCAATTCTATTGCATGACAATTGTGATAAATTTCAATTCTGTTGCATGTCAATTGAGTTAAATGTCAATTGTATTGCATGACAATTGTGTTAAATGTCAATTCTGTTGCATTACAATTAAGTTAAATGGCAATTTCGTAGAAGGACAATTGTGTTAAATGTCAATTCTGTATTATGAGAATTGAGTTAAATGTCAATTTTGATGCAGGACAATTATTTTAAATATCAAATCTGTTGCATGTCAATTGTGATTAATTTCAATTCTGTTGCATGTCAATAGTGTTAAATGTCAATTCTGTTGCATTACAATTATGTTAAATGTCAATTCTGTTGCATTACAATTATTGTGTTAAACCTCAATTCTGTTACATGACAATTATTTTAAATATCAAATTTGTTGCATGTCAATTTTGATGAATTTCAATTCTGTTGCATGTCAATTGTGATGAATTTCAATTTTGTTGCTTGTCAATTGTGTTGCATTAGAATTATGTTAAATGTCAATTTTGTAGCAGGACAATTGTGTTAAATGTCAATCTTGTTGCAAGTCAATTATGTTATATTCCAATTATTTTAAATATTTTTCTGTTAAATGACTTTTTGGTTGTTTGTCAGTTGTTGAATATTCATGCGTCACTTAAACTATTAGACTTTTGAGAATGGTTCTGTACTAAGGGGTATTGAGATTCGCTCTTTCAAAATCCGGTGTTAAAAAAGCATTCTGATAACAATGAAATCCAATATACTTTTAACACCAGATTCTGAAAGAGTGGATATGCAATACCATTTAAGTAGTACGAAACCATTCTCAAAAGTCTAATCGTTTAGAATAAATATTCTCACCTTGAATTTTAATAAAAAATTTTGGACATTTGATCGTTAATGGGTTAATTAAAATCTAAAATTTTGAATTACTTTCTCATGACTTGAAGTGCAAATCTTGCCCAAACATCACTAACAGGATTGCTTCCTTGATAGGCAGGTCTTAAAATTGGATTCGTTGGGCAAGGTGTTCTCTCGGTGTATGGAATGGCAGTAAAGGATTCAAGAGCATGACAAAGTACATCGAATCCAGAATAGGCACAAACCTTTTCTGGTAGTGTTAATGTATGCTCTGGGTCTATTATTCCTAAGGTTGGTCGCAATGCTCTGAAATATTGAATAATTAATTAAAATAAATATTAATTTTTTTGTAAATAATAGCAGAAGTTAAAATTTAGAACCAAAAGAAAAAAATCGAATTGCAAACATTTTTAAAGCTAACCTATTGGCAATACCAGTTTTTGCCTTCAGTGGTCTGTAGTCAAAAATGGAAACACCAGTTGTTTCTGAGCCAGTACCGGAAGTTGTTGGCACTGCAATCAACGGTTTCAATGCAACTAATATTGGCTTACCCTTTCCAATTGGCGCATTAACGTAATCTAGAAAATCAGCATTTGGATCCGATGCATAGAGATTTGCAGCTTTGCATGTGTCCATAACAGAACCACCTCCCACCTGTTGATAACAAATATTTAATCCATCAAAAACTAGATTATTTTCAATATACGATCGGAATTTTCAGAGTTGATGGGAAGACCTTTTGAAAAATCCAAAAAATGTAGCAGTTCGTTTTTGAAAAATAGTAAAGAACTTACAGCAATGTAAGCGTCGAATTTTCCACTCTTAGCGAATTTAATTGCATCTTGAAGACTCGCTTCCGTTGGTTCAACTCGAACTTTATCGTAAATTTCAACGCTGACTCCGTGCTTTGTCAAACTGTCAAGAGCCTTTTTTACTGGCGATAGATTCACTAAATTTGAATCTGTCATTAGGCAAATTTTCTTCGCCCCTAAGTTTTGAGCGTCCATACCCAATTCCCTAGTTACTCCAATTCCATACCTAACGGTCGAACAAGCCATCTGCAATATACATCAAATTTAGAATATTTAGAAAATCAAAAGATTTCACTACAAAAACAAATTTTTTTCATAAAATGAATTCTAATCTTAAGAATTTTTAAAATAGATGACATCATTACAAATAGTTCGCATTATCTGATTGATTATCTGATTGATTATCTGATTTGATATATGTTTTCTAAAAAAGTTCTAACGAACAAAAAAAATAGGTTATTAAACGAAAAATTTAATTCTTTACCTCGAAAGCATAATCTTTCGTCGGAGCTGTAGTGGCAGCAGTGCTACGCGTTTTTCCATGATTTATTATTCCATTTCCGCCTGGATTTCCATGTGCTGGACATTTACATCTATAAAATTGCATTAATTACCAAAAATTATTTCATTAAATAATATAGAAATAAAATTTCATTTATTCTGTTTACATTCTAAAGAAGATCTAAATAATGGAACAAGCATTAATATAAAAATTATTGAGTTACTAATGGAACCTTGTATAAGCATACTCTGATTGTACTGATTAAAAAATTGACAAACATATTCTTTATAATCAAAGATTTCATCCAAGATTCCATCCAACATTCCATTCACGATTCCATCCAAGATTAAAGTATTTAAAAAAAAAGAATCTTAATCATAAGATTCAAAGAAAATTATTAATTTCTAAAATAATTCAAATAAATTATTTAAATACTTTAAATAATTTTTTATATACGTAAATAAACAAATATTCAAATTATTAAATAAAGGCAATTTTTAACATCTGCTGTTAAATATATACGTATACAATAACTAAATTTATAAAAACCTAAGGAATTAAAAATTAAAGTTCTTATTAAAATCTGTATCTTAAAAAAATTCAGAAACATAACATATGATGCTAGAATTTGTTGACCTCATTAAATTTGTCAATCATTTCATTTAGAAATATTGGAAAAGAATTGACGCAGAAAGAAATAAAAAAATCTTACGATTGTGATGATATTATTTGAAGTAGATCAACGGCACGTCTTCTTGGTAACATGATTGTGAGGGAAAAAGGAAAATTATTTTTTCTTTAAAGAAAATTTTTTGATTAATCGCTATTAAAATAAATTCTCACAGTTATCACTTTTACAAACACTGTGGCGTGGACTTGGGACTAACAAATTGACTTCTCATATAGTCTGTTGAATCTTGAAACCGGTAGTACGCCCCACCATATGAAGATATATATTTCCCTCCTACATTGACTTAAATCTTCTAGACAAACATATGTACATATATATAGGAGTATTAATGCATATTGAGAGTTACGAAAGAAGAACGTCGTTGTTTATTTCATTTTATAATTAAAAAATTAATAACTATGATTTTGAAGAGATTTTTTTGAAAATTTGGTAATAAATTTAATGATGAGCATTAGAAATAGCAGTTTCAATTTTTAGAAATTTTATTTTATGCCACAAATAGTAGATTATTTGAGAAATTTTTGGCTATTATTTAAAATTAAGTATATACCATTTTTGAGGACTATTCTATTTTTTCTTTTCCCGACTTTTTTCTAAATTTCATCAAAAATATTTCCTTCTTTATTATCCTGCTAATAAATTGAATTGACCTGCAACGTATTTTAATATTCATGAAATAATTTAAATATTTATAAAAATAATTTAATTCTAGTGTAGAATTTTATAAAAAATTTTTAATATTTCTTTCGACTAATTTTATGCAAATTCTAATTAAATCCCGAGTCGAACTTTTAGACCTGCTTACCTCCTGGTAAGTATAATTTAACCCTAACCTGCACCTAACAAACCCTTGGTGTTTTTTTCCTCCTGCGTAAGTTCTATTTAACTCTGACAACTCCTTTTTAAGTCCTAATTGAACCTTAAACCCTGTATTGCTTCTACCACATTCTTACGCAATAGGAAATGTTACGCGCGGTACAAGATATTCAACTTATTATTGTTTTGCAAATTACAAAATTTTTTATTTTGAAAATTTCACGAAAGAATTCAATTATTTTCTAAAATTTTAATAAATCCTTCGAAACAATTCAATTATTTTTATAAATAGTAAAATTCTTCCGAAGAATTAAATTAATTTTATAAATAGTAAAATTCTTTGCAGGAATTCAATTATTTTCAAAACAATTTTAATTGAATTCCTTAGATGAATTCAAATATTTAAAAATATTTTCATAAATTGCAATTATTTTCTTAAACTTTAATAAATTCTTCGAAATAATTCAACTATTTTTATAAATACTAAAACTCTTTGCAAGAATTAAATAATTATTAACCCAATTAAAATAAAATTAAACGAAAGAATTTAATTATTTTCAAAAATTCCCATAAAATTTAGTTTCAACAAGAATTTAAAATTTTTGAAAAACAATTTAATTATTCTCAAAATACTTAAAAAAAATTCTATATAAGAATTAAATTACTAGCTCAATACAATTTTTGAATATATTTGTCAAAAGAATTGAAATAATTCTATTATTTTCGAAAAGTAATTAAAATTCTTATGATGAATTCAATTATTTTGAATATAGGTACAAATTTTTTGAAAATAATTGAATTTCTAAAAAGCATTTTATTATTTGTGAAAATAATTGAATTCTTACGAATGATTTAAATAGAATTTTTTTAAATAATTGTAGTTTAGGAAATAATTTTGTTATTTATCGACATAATTGAATTCTTGGGAAGAAATTTATTAAAATCTAAAAGAATAATTTAATTGCAATTTTAAAAAAAATTTAATTAAAATTGTATTGAAATAATTAATTTCTTTCGAACAATTTCATTAAAATATTTAAAACTAATTGAATTCTTGTAAAAAATTATAATATTTTTGTAAATAATTTAATTCTTTCAAAGAATTTAAAAAAACATATTTTTAAATAATTGATTTTTTCGAGGAATTGAAATTTAATTTTTTTAGGAATAATTACATTTCTCGAGCAATTCCTATAAAATTGTATTAAAAATAATTGAAATCCTGTGTTGAATTTTATTATTTATGAAAATAATTAAATAGTTGCTAAGAATTTTATTAAAATTTTCAAAAATAATTGAATTCCTGAGAAGAATTTTATTATTTATGAAAATAATTGAATTATTGAGAAAAATTTTATTAAAATGTTTAAAAAGAATTGAATTTCATTGAAAAATTTTGATATTTTTGTAAATAATTGAATTCTTTATACGAATTTTATAAACAATTGTTTTAAATAATTAATTTTTTCGAAATATAATAAATATTATGAAAATTTTATTTTAAATAATTGAATTTTTGTGCATTATTTGTGAAAATAATTGAATTATTCTATTAATTAATTTAAAATAGTTTAAAAAATAATTTTAATGCTTCGATGAGTTTTATTATTTATGAAAATAATTGAATTCTTGTTTACAATTTTATTAAAATTTTTTTTTAAATAATTGAATTTCCATGAAAAATGTTATTATTAGTGAAAGTAATTGAATTATTATGAAGAATTGTATAAAAATTTTTGATAAATAATTGATTTTTTTGAAATTATTTTGCAAAATGATATTCTAAATAAATTGAATTTCTGTGGAAATTTTATTATTTATAAAAATAATTGAATTTTGCATAAATTCTTTCAAAAGAATTTAAAAAAACATATTTTTAAAATAATTGATTGTTTCCAAGAATTGAAATTAAATTTTTAAGAATAATTACATTATTCTCGAGCAATTCCTGTAAAATTTTTATTAAAAATAATTGAAATTATGTGATGAATTTTGTTATTTTTAAAAATAATTGAATTGTTGCAAAGAATTTTATTATTTATGAAAATAATTGAATTCATGCTAAGATTTTTACAAAAAATTTTTGAAATAATTGTATTCTGTTTGGAAATTTTATGAAAATAGTATGTATATAAATTGAAAATCATTGACATGCGAAAGGTTTTAATAAATAATTAAATTTTACAAAGAATTCTAATAAAATTTTTGAAAATAATTGAATGTCTTTGTGGTATTTTATAAAATTTTGTTGAAAATAATTTAATTCCTAAGAAGTATTTTATTATTTGTGAAAATAATTGAATTCTTGAAAAGGATTTTTTATTAGAATTTTTAAAAATAATTGAATTAGCAAAATTATATTTATTACTTTTAAAAACAATTGTATTCTTGTAATGAATATTGTCATTTATGAAAATAATTGAATTTTGGAAAGAATTTTATTAAAATGACTTAAAATAATTGAATTTCTGAAAATAATTATGTTATTCATCAACATAATTGAATTCTTGGGAAGAATTTTATTAAAATCTAAAAGAATAATTTAATTATTTGAAAAAAATTTGTTTAAAATTGTATTTTTGTAATTGTATTTTGTAAATAATAATAATAATAATAATAATAATAATAATAATAATAATAATAATAATAATAATAATAATAATAATAATAATAATAATAATAATAATAATAATAATAATAATAATAATAATAATAAAATTAAAAAAACATATTTTTAAATAATTCTTTTTTTCGAGGAATTGAAATTAAATTTTTAAGAATAATTACATTTCTCTAGCAATTCGTGTAAAATTATATTAAAAATAATTGTAATTTGTAATCCCGTGGTGAATTTTTTTATTTTTGAAAATAATTGAATTCTTCATAAGAATTTTATAAACATTGTTGTAAATAATGAATTTTTTCGAAATATAATAAATATTATGAAATTTTTATTTTAAATAATTGAATTCTTGTGGATTATTTGTAAAGATAATTGGATTTTTCTATTAGATAATTAATTGAAAATAGTATTAAAAATAATTTAAATGCTTCGATGAGTTTTATTATTTATGAAAATAATTGAATTCTTGCTTACAATTTTATTAAAATTTTTTTTCTAAATAATTGAATTTCCATGAAAAATGTTATTATTAGTGAAAGAAATTGGATTATTGTAAGAATTAAATAATCCACTTCAATAAATGTTTAGCGTGAAACTTTTCTGAACTGATTTAAATTACATTTTCACCTAAATTTTAAATACATTTTTTGAACAAAATTTTTTTCAGGTAAAACGAAAAATAATCTGAATTTAACGTTAATCAATTTTTTGCATTCAAGAAAGTTGAATCCGCACCTGAGTTTACGATGACGTTGGAAAAAAAAAGATAAAAAAAAGAGGACCAAGAAGCTTGACCACTTTTGATGCAGTCATTTTTATTCTTTCAGTATGCAAACTTTTTTGACGCTCACAAGCTTTTCTAAAAGTTGTTGCTTATTCTAATCGTCTTTTTATATCAAGTGAATAAAGACAATGTCTTTTATCATCAATTGTTAAATATTTTAGTATATAGTGATAATAAAAAAATATTTTCAATACTAGAAGAGATCAAATGTTATTGATGATAAGATAAAATTATTTAAAAGAAAATCTGCTACTGAATCTATATTTAAAATTGTAAGTAGAAATATCAGAAGTAACTAACATCTCAAGATTATTCCATTTTTCCACCAAGAATAATGGAATTAACACCAGAAAATTACAGTATTGTGTACTTTGGTGTCGCAACATCAGGATTTTATAAAAAGGACGAAATCCTGCAAATTGGGGCAAAGTGTGATAAAGCATCATTTAGTGTGTATTTAAAACCAACCGTTCGTGTCGATTATCATTCAAATGAATTAAATAATCTTCAAAATATAAATGGAGAATTATTTCTTAATGACAAGAAACTGATGTCACTTGAAGCAAAATTTGCTTTAAAATCATTCGAACAATTTTTGAATAAATTCAAAACACCATGTGTTCTACTTTCTTATAGTCATTTTCATTACAATCGTCTGATAACTCTCATTCACAATAATAATATGATTGATAATTTCAACATTATCGCTGGATTCTATGATGCCACAAATTTATTTAAAAAATGTCCAAATGTAAAGGTTTCTAATTATAAATTAGAAACATTGTCACAAGTTCATCTTAAGAAAGAAAAAAATTTCGAAGCATTGCATGATGTTCGTTTGGTTGAAGAATTGAGTGAAAAATTAATTTCAAAGAATGATTTTTACAAATGTTTGTTGGGTTATAAACATTATAAACAATGCGTTGAAAAGATTGTTTCCAAACCATCAGGAAAATCAAAATTACAAAATGACAACTTATCGAAAATTGATCTAATAATGGAATCATACAAAGGGGACATTGCCAGTGGAGGAATGAAAATAAATTCAAGAAATTCTCTCGTGCAAGGGACAAATAAAAAAGGAAATGGAATGTTAGACTTTTTCAAAGAACATAAAAAATCACAAAGAAATCCTGTCGTGCAAGGGACATATAAAAAAGGAAGTGGAATTTCAGACTATTTCAAAGAACATAAAAAATCACAAATAAATAGAAAAAAAGTAATTCAAATTTTTGAATGATAAAAAAATTTCTATTTTCGAAACTTAATTATTGTTGGTTTATGAAAAATGAAAAATATTTTTAATTTAAAAATGAAATATTATGATTTATTTTTTTCATTGTCTGTTTTAAATATACTCTCATTGTTATTAATATAATCATTTTATTAAAATATTATTTACAGCTTATTGCGTGGCATACACGTTGATAACATATCTCAGCGCTCTAAGCTAACATTTGTTAACAATAATTTTTATTAATAAAAAGGCACTTAACAATTAGAAAAAAAATTTTTTTTTTTTGTAAATCATATAACTAAAATATCCCTTAAAATTTATCCTCACTTTCTTTCCTATCTAAAAGTACATTTTATATAGTCTAAAAGATTTTTTTTTCCGTCTTCTATTATATATAGATATAATAATACGATTATTTAAAAATCTTATCAATAGACATTTTTAATATAAATAGTTTAATAATTTTCAACATTATTCTATTTATAATTTCAACGAATTTTTTTAAGACAAACATTTTTTAAATGAATCTTTAAATTCCTTATTTTTTTGTACTTAGTGATGTAAGAAAAAAAATTGCAAATATATTTTTGAAAAGAAAAGTGAATATTCTTATAATTAGCTTTCATATATTACTATGACTGGGCAATTCTCATTTTGTAAAGCAGTCCAGAACTCTCATTTTTTCTTTGAACATTTTTTTTTTTTGTGAAAAAAATTGATTTTTCGAATTAATACCACCCAGAATTATGACCAAGTCTTAAAAAATTTTTTTGTTTCAATATACTCGCTATCAACTTATAAAGCTATATAAGTTATTATAAGTATTTTATGCCACGAATTTATTATGTATATCTCTTCATGTATACATCATGAATCTTACTGGAAGAAACCACTGGATTTTACCAAAAAAAAACCAATTATTAAAAATTTAATTTTTTCAGATTTCAAATAAATTTTTTTAGTTGTTTTTTTACATTGCAAGGAACTATGAAAGTCGATTAAAAAAAAAAATTGTAAAATTCAAAAAACTTTGGATTGAATATTTATAATAATAAAAAATGTAATATTCATGATCACTTTGTTCGTATAATTAACCAAAACTCTTTTGACAAAGAGAAGGGATTATAATTTTACCGCATGAGAGAATGATTTTCGAGGTAAAAATTAAAAATATCATGCAAGACATTTTTATTATTATAATTTTGATGAAGTTTATTTTTCTCTTTAAATAAAAAATTTCTTTGTTTCTTTAAGAATATCAAAAAAAAAAAAAAATCACAAAAATAGTTTCTCAATATGACATTCTCTCAGGACAGTACGAAAATTTCTAATTCGTAATTCTCAGTCTCAGGAGTCTATATCTTTTTTTTTGCATTCTCTTATACTTACAAACAATAGAAAAATTTAAACACTTTCTGGTACAATTTTGTCATAGTGGAATGTACTGCTTGAATAGAAAGCGCCACGTTTTGGTAAATGTGGTGTTGGTATTTCTTCTTGAAGTGGTTTATAAACAAGACCACAATTTTTATTATCGATCAATCCTTGACGAAGAATCATTGGTGGCCTAATAACTGGACCGCGACCTCTTCGTTTTGCCAAATAGAGAGCAAAATGAACAATTGACATTAAAAGAACAACAGTGACGACAATAACAGTCAATACAGGCCAAAGTGATCGTCGATAAAATGGATGATAACTAACAGTTGCTTCAGGAATATCATCATTATAATCATCATCATCATTTTCCTCGGTAAACATGTCACTGAATTCGTCTAAATTATTCTGACCATGATCGAACTGTAAAAAGAATAAAAGTTTGGTTTTGTTTAGTTTAGTATTAAGGATGTCCTCTTGGACGTCCAGAACCCACTGCGGAATATATAGAAAAAAAATTAGAGAACTTACCGCAATGTCGTCAGATAAGTCATTCTTTAGAATATCCTCGAGTTTTGGTCTTTGTGGCACTGGTCGTGGTGGTGGGCCAAGATCAATGCTGTCACAAACAACTTTAGCTAAATCAGACCATTGTGTTATTCTTTCAGTTTCAATGTAATCGTCAGCAATGCTCATTGATTTTGTATTATCAACAGTCTTCACTCTATGACCCGTCAGCCATTGAATTGCATCATTGAATTCTTGATCGCACTTTAAGGGATTGTGCATTATATCCAAACCAGTGAGTTTTGGAGTTGCTTTTAACTCCTCCAATGTTATTCGCTGAAGACGATTATCATGAACCGCAAGAAATCTACAATTAATTGTAATAGTTAATTTATTTATTCGAAAGAACTTCCTACAATGTTTAGGATGTGTGATCTTCCATATCATCATAGCAGTGCTTTGCAACTGTCTACTTTTGCCTGATAGGTCGTTTGCTAGATTCTGTAAACCTAGATCATTGTCGCCTATTAAATTCATAATCTTTAGACTTCTGTTAATTTGGATAGTATTTTGAGAGCAATTACGGATTACCCCACCACATAGATTAAAAATAATACAAACAAACTATTACACCCATTCAATCATTAAACCTGCAATTCTTTACCAACATAGATAGAAACATAACTAAAAACTTTTTAATTATTGCTAAATTGGAGAATGACATAATTTCTAACCAACGTTCGTTCGAATCAGTATATGCATTACCAGGGAAACAAGACTCATGAACCGAGTACCATGCCGGACAATCTTCTACAATATGGTGCGGACTTTCAAAATCCTCATGACAATAATTACAAAGCCTTTCCGGGTCGAATACATGCTTCTCTGATCCTCTGATTATTCTAGCAAAATTAGACAAACGAAGTTGCGCAAAGATCTGCTTATAGAACAAATTTATCCGTGACAATAGATATCATTGCGTTTCCGGTTTTAATGAAAGAGATGGATAAATTAACAGACTTTTAGACAATATTAAGCGGTCGTAGTCTATCCTTCTCAAAAATGCTTCATATAAATTAAGAATGTTCTTACAATCATAAGCACCAAATTCGAGGGTAAACTCGTCTAGATAAGATTCCAGTAAACTATCAGTAGAAAATATGCGAATTTGGTTAACCCAGTTAAAATGATTAGTTGGATCCTTATGGGACAAAGACTTAAGTCTTTCGAGGCAAAGTTTAGGGAAGCGTGAATTGTCCATTTTGGAGACCTTTGTCAACTACGATAAAATATTTTTTAAAACCATAAACGACAGATGCAAAGATCCAGTTTCAATCCTTAAGGCGTAGCCCAGTGTATTAGAAGGGAGTAGGAGTAATTTCTTGAAAAAAGAGAGTTGTGTTCGTTCAATAAAGTCTAAAAAGTTCAGGGCTCATAACAAGGAACAGTACATCAAAATGTCTTAATGTCTGTTGTGAACTTTAACAATGCTGTACATGTGCTGTGTTTATCACCAAAACCCAGATTGTAGGGGTTCTAGTAAATCATTATTCGTTAAGAAATCAGTCATATTTGCTTGCATACGATCTGCAATTATCTGTCAATTTTAAAAGAGATATTTTCTTTAATTCATCATTACAGAAGTTCCCTTCTAATGTTCAACGTAACTATAATAGATTTAGGAGATTACTCTGATGCTTTTATGCTGTCCTTTGGGTTTGACGGCGTTTTAAAAAGGCGGGACATGTCTATCAAAAATTTTGATTACTTGTTCCGTCAACTAAATTAAATGAAAACTAACAACGGATTCGTAATCAGCGGTCCTGCAAACCTCCAAGTAACAAGTTTCAAGCGAATCCTAATAGTTTTTAAAAATTCTTTGTTGTGGTGTCGGGGCTTTTCACTAAAGGACATCCAAACAGCAAGAACGTAATCAAAGAATTCAGAAATTGTCCCCATGTAAGCAGGTCATTCGGGGCTCACCGATTGTGGAGGTGGTATACCAGTAATCGTAGAAAGAAGTGCTGCAGCAGCAGTTGCAAGAAGTTCTCGAAAAGCAAATAAGTCACAGTCTTAGGACCCAACCAGCGAGGTATGATGTTTGCTGTTATGGTAATCAACTAAAAATAAGTTGATTAGCTGATAAAACAAAGAAACATAAGAATTTGCTTATGTTGTGCTTAATCAGGAAGAGTACCATATAATGGTCAATAGGTGTCATTTATGTCTGGATTATGAATTATGAATTACACTTTATTTTTGGGAATCTAACTCTCATTTCTGATTGTGCTGCCTAACTATCTGTCAAGCAGCCGCTAACTCAACGCCATGGGTAGTCAAGTAATTCTAAAGATTGAAGAGCAGTCTAGTAAAAGATGAGAATGGTTTTTAGTGGGTCGACCAGAACAATAAGAATTACCCCCAAAACCTTGGATTTTAATTTATCTCGATTAAATTTTTTCCCTTTTGACCAAAGGAAAAGAATCAAGAACAAAGGGTCAACAGAAGACAGCATCATTTCCAGACAGTTGCACAAATATCATCATAGGACCAGCCCCTAAAAATGTATAATTATCCATTTATTGTGTATTTACTTACTTAAGATTTTTAAGCGGTACTCTGGCTTCACTCCAAACACGTTCAAGAACATTCCAACTGACATTCAATTTAGAGAGATTTGGCGTCGCAAGGAATGGAGTGACTTGCAGGGAAATTAAAAGATTTCCAGCAAGATTCAATTTTATCAATGATGTGGCGCCTTGGAACATATTATTATCAAGTGTTTTAATTTGATTCTTCGACAAATCAAATTCAATCAATGATGAATGGAATTTGAGTAAATTTCTTGGAAGTCCGGTCAAATGATTTTTGGCAAGTTTCAATGTTGTTAGTGCTGGCATTGCGTCAAATGTTCCTTCCTGAATGGAGTAGAGACCACAATTGGAGCATTCGAATCGATAAACGCTATAGAGGGGGAAAAAAATTAACAATTTTGAATATTTTGCCTAAATTTGAAATTATTAAAAAAGGATTATTAAACATACCTGAATGTGTTGTACTCCTGATCGTTGGTTCGAAAAACGGGAAGTGTTTCTAATCCAGGATTGTCGTTCATCACGATTGTTTGCAATCTGGAATTCGTTCGGAAATGATGATCCGTAAGTGAAGTGAGTTTATTGTCACTGATATCAAGATGGACTAATTCATCATTCTCACTGAATGAATGCTGATGAATTCTTTTGAGACCATTCGATTTAACGTAAAGTTGTTCGAGAATTGGCAATCCAATCAAATCGTCTTTGTGAATAATTTTGATTCTATTACTTGAAACATCTAATATTGTCATTTTTGTCGCAATCACAGTACTTAGGGTTGATAAATTATTACCTAAAAGTGAAAGAAAAAAATTAATAATTAATCAATTTTAAGAATTCAATTTCGAAGTAGTACAGAATTATTTCTTACCAACAGCTCTCAAGATCTGAACATTTTTTGCATTTCCCTCAAAGAGATCGATTGGTATTTCTTGTAATTCATTATAGGAAATATCCAATTCGGTGAGTGATTCCAATGAATTAATGTGAGCTTTGTCGATTGTTTTTAGACGATTCGTTTTTAAATCGATGAATACGAGATTTGGCATTTTCACGAATGCTGAATGTGGTAATCTTGATAGGGAATTATCGGAGAAAACAAGTTCGGATACACTTGGAGCATTGAGAAGATAATTTCTTGTTTTTGCCTTAAAAGCTGTCTGTAAACGTTTCATTGGATTTCCAGAGATTGTTATTAAATTTAATTGACTGTTATTTTGGAATATATCAACTGGAATATCGTCTAAACTATTTCTGGTGAAATTCACAGCGAAAAGATAGGGATTATCCTCGAAGGCTGTTTTATCCAATTCCAAAATTGGAGTATCTATGAAGGTTATCGATTCCAGTTGTTGAAGACCCCGCGATTTGAAAGCCTTTGGACCTAGACGAATTGGATCAGCATTCTCAATCATCAGATGAACAATTCCAGGACCGAAGGTTTGATTCTCATCCAATCTGGTGCATCTGAAATTATTTTTTGGTTTGTTTAATTAGTCATTTAGAAACAAATGGAGAAAAGAAAAATTAAAGGAACAATAAAAATCATCTAAAGTTGTGAGTTTATTTTGATTTTTGTTGTTCTTTTGATTTCGTTAAAAATTACTTGGCAGTTGTAGCAGAAGCAAATTGTCCAACACATTTGCAACTCGAGGGGCACTGGGTCATAATTTCATCTTCATTGAGATGATCAGGATCATCTTCATCATCATCTTCATCATCATCATCATCATCTTCATAATCATCATCATCATCATTCTCATCCTCTTCGTCCTCATCATCATCATCCTCATAGTTCGCATCATCAGATTCAGTGAATTCTTTAGGAGTAGTTTTCACCGTCGTACTTGTAATCGTCTTAACAGTTGGATTTTTCCTCACTAACGGTACTTTAACAATTGGCTTTATTTTCTGAGCCTCCGCTTTAATTACTTTCGCAACTTCCTCTTCTGGAAACTTATCATTATCATTTGAAATTTCTTCATCTAATGTTTGAATTTCCTTCAAAAGCGTTTCCTTTGGATCTAAAAGTTTCTTGTAATCGACATTTTTCATCGAGAACACTTCTTCAGTTGTTGCTTTAATCTCTTTAGCATTTGATGTCGAGGTTGTTTTAATTTTTTCATGTAAATTTTCTTCAGTCGTTGAATAAGCAGAAACCGCTGCTGTTCCGATTAATAAAATCAGCAGCAGAGCTGCTCTTCGCTCCATTTTTTCACTAATCTGCGAACAATATAAAAGGAGAAAAAAATTATTTCAATAAACAAAATTCTTTAAATTTATTTTAAAAACACTTCTTTTATGAATATTAAAGTTTAATTAATTAATTCAATTATTAATTAAATATTAAAACGAGGAAATTTTGGATTAAATTGTAAAAAAAAAATCTTTTTTGAAAATACAAGAAAAAAATAAGAATTTTGACATACGCAATAAATTATAGCACCGAACAATAAAATGATGATAACTACAATAGAGATGATAAAATTACAATCATTTAATATTAATTCGCAGAAGTCTTCAGCTGATAAAAAATTTTTTTTGTTTTCTCAATCAAACACATTATCATGAAAAGTGAGTCTATTTTTCACAGTTCAATAAGCACATTTTAATTAATATGAAAATTAAATTTTTTTACCATATTTTACAAATAATAATTAATAATTTAAAATTTCTTCAAAACCGGAAATTAAAATTTTAATTGATCACAGAATTTCATTTTGATCGTTATGTCGATATTGACAATATAAAACTGAATTACAGGCACGAGATTCTACGCTTCGGAACGCATGTTTACAACTACACCCTTCTAATAACACCCACTTTTTTTATTGAATTATATATATATATATATAAACGCATACACAGATGTCTGATATTATACAAAACGAATAACAGTTGTTGATTGTTTCATTCATTTTCATTTATCTCATTAAACTTTTTTCTCAAATTACTTTTCAATTATAATTATTCTTCATTTTTTAAATAAAAAATTTCTATTTGAAAATTTTGATTTTGTCTTCTTTATCTGAAAAAATATTTTCTAATTTTTTAAACTGATGTTTCGAAAAAATGCATAAATAAAAGTAAATAATAACATAATAATTAATAATAATAATAATAATAACAATAATTAAAAATAATTTTTGAAAAATTTTTTTTTGAAATATATTTATTGTTGAATTGGAAAAAAATGAATTACATAAAAAATATTTTCAATATTCACATTGTATGTGGACGTTTAAAACTTATATGGTATTATAGAGAATAACTATACTATTCTTAACACGGCAAGGAGTTGAGGTTGAAAAAGATACCTTTATATGTTTTTTATCTATACATTCAATGCTTATCTAAAGAATGACTCAGGTTTTTGATGGAGCTAATAATCAATATGACGAAATGCTTGTCGACCCTTCTTGTTTCGAGAAAAAAAGAAAATCACACTAATAATAATAATAAAAAAAAAATTAAATGTTGAATGAAATTTTTTTTCTTTTATTTGCTATGAACTATTTTTGGAAAAAATATTTTTTCAAAAAAAAGAGAGAAAAATTGAGTCGTTTCTATTTTTTGGACTTTTTTTCAACTTTTTCAATTATTTATTTTTAGAAATTAAAAAATATCTGTAAAAGATGTTCACATTTTTTTTTATATCTGTGATAATTTATACGACTGACACGTCAAGCAAGTTTCACGCAGTAGTCACCTGAGCTTTGCTGATAACAATGGAGGATATCTTATACTTTTAGTTTAGGCTTTGCAGTTTTACTAGACAGGAAATTCAAAGATATATTTTTAAACTTATAATCAAATTTTTTTTTGTTAAACTTGCAAATTTTATTTTAATGATTTTTAATTTTTATTTTTAACAATTTACATGTAATTAATAATAGCCGCCAATTTTCTCAACTACACGATTAACATTTTCCTTTGGAAAAATTTTTATTAATTTATTGCAATCAATGGACAATTTCTTTGTGACAATTGGTACTTAATTTTTTTAAACAGTAATTACCGCAATAAATAATATTAATAATAATCGTAAATCTTGAAAAAAAATTAAACGAAAAATGTTTGTAAAAAAAAAAAAATTTATTCAATAACAGATTAATGTTTAAGCGATGTGAGATTTTGTATTGAAATTTTATGGAAGAAGAATTTTTATCAAATTGAAAGGATGAGTGACTAATTATTATGATATATTAATAGAGAATAAAAATTCTTCCAGCCTCAATCATAATAAGATTTCATCATCATAACTTGAACCTTCTACTTCTGAAATAAGAATAGTTTGTTTGCACAAAAGTATTAGCGTATTATTTTGAGCCGAATAACCTTGATGGGATTGGCGGAATAAATTTTTTATACACCTTGAGTCAATTCATTTCAAATCGACATTTGCTTTGTGCCATCAAGAAAAAAAGTGTAGGTATAATTGTGAAAAATTTTTAATTACTTTTTAAAAAAATTTTTGTCAAAATAAAGTAGTGAGTTATGGTACTATTGAATCTATAATGCTCTAAATCTGAAATACATTTTTTCCAGGCTATTAATCTTGATCCTGTGTAACAAAAAAAAAGAACCCTTCCTTAACGCTTCTAAGAGACTTTCTCTCCTAATTGAAAAAATTAGAAAAAAAAATTAAAATATCAGTTTTTTGAAATTTTCAAAAGCAATTGTAGTTTATTCTTTAAATTATTATAATTTTCTTAAAATATTTTAAAAAATGCTTCGATTGAACTATATTTGAACCAATTTTAACAATGAACTGCAAAATTCTAATCAGTTGAAAAAATGAGAAAAAAATTAAAATATCAGTTTTTTGAAATTTTCAAAAGCAATTTCAGTTTACCCTTTAAACTATAATAATTTTTTTTATACAAATTCAAAAATGCAAAAATTGACTTATTTTTTAACCTTTTTTGACAATGTACTGCGAAATTTTAGTGAATTGAAAAAATGAGAAAAAATAAAAATATTAGTTTTTTGAAATTATTTAATGCAATTTCAGTTTATCTTTTAAAATATTTAAATTACATAAAAGTACAATAAAAAACGCATCGATTGATCTATTTGCGCATCTTTTTCAACGATACGTAGAAAAACAATTTAAAAAATTTTAAAAATCAGAAAAAATAAAAATATCAGTTTCTTGAAATTATTAAATCAATTTCAGTTTATCTTTTAAAATATTATAATTTCCTTAAAATACATCGATTGACCTATTTTTGAACATTTTTTGATACTTTTTTGACATTGTACTGCAAAATTCTAATCGATTAAAAAAATGAAAAAAAAAAAAATATCAGTTTCTGGAAATTATCAAAAGCAATTGTAATTTATCATTTAAACTATTATAATATCCTTAAAATGTATTCAAAAATGCTTCGATTGATCTATTTTTAAACTTATTTTGACAAAGTACTGCAAAATTCTAATCAATTGAAAAAATGAGAAAAAAATTAAAATATTAGTTTCTTGGAATTATCAAAAGCAAATGTTGTTTATCTTTTCATTTATTTTAATTTCCTTAAAATATACTAAAAAATGCTTCGATTGATCTATTTTTAAATTTATTTTGACAAAGTACTGCGAAATTCTAGTCAATTGAAAAATTCTGAAAAAATAAAAATATTAGTTTTTTGTAATTATCAAAAGCAATTATACTTTATCTTTTGAACTACTATAATTTGCGTAAAGTACATTTAAAAACGCATCGATTGATCTATTTTTGAACTTACTTTGACAAAGTACTGCGAAATTCTAGTCAATTGTAAAAATAATCAAAAATAAAAATATCAGTTTCTGGAAATTATCAAAAGCAAATGTTGTTTATCTTTTCATTTATTTTAATTTCCTTAAAATATACTAAAAAATGCTTCGATTGATCTATTTTTAAATTTATTTTGACAAAGTACTGCGAAATTCTAGTCAATTGAAAAATTCTGAAAAAATAAAAATATTAGTTTTTTGTAATTATCAAAAGCAATTATACTTTATCTTTTGAACTACTATAATTTGCGTAAAGTACATTTAAAAACGCATCGATTGATCTATTTTTAAACTTACTTCGACAAAGTACTGCGAAATTATAGTCAATTGTAAAAATAATCAAAAATAAAAATATCAGTTTCTGGAAATTATCAAAAGCAAATGTTGTTTATCTTTTCATTTATTTTAATTTCCTTAAAATATACTAAAAAATGCTTCGATTGATCTATTTTTGAACTTATTTTGACAAAGTACTGCGAAATTCTAGTCAATTGAGAAAATGAGAAAAAAATAAAAATATCAGTTTCTGGAAATTATCAAAAGCAAATGTTGTTTATCTTTTCATTTATTATAATTACCTTAAAATATATTCAAAAATGCATCGTTTGATTTATTTTTGAACCTTTTTTGAGAAAGTACCCTGAAATTTCAGTCGATTGAAAAAATGAGAAAAAAATAAAAATATCAGTTTCTTGAAATTATCAAAAGCAATTGTAATTTATCTTTTCATTTATTATAATTTCCTTAAAAAATTTTTGTCGAAAGAAAGTAATATTAATTTTTTAATAGAAGAAATATAGTATAATACTATTGTGAGTTATGGTACTATTGAATCTATAATGCTCTAAATCTGAAATAGATTTTTCCAGGCTATTTATCTTGATCCTGTGTAACAAAAAAAAGAACCCTTCCTTAACTCTCCTAAGCAGACGCTTAGGAGTATTCTTTTGAGAAAGAGGAGGAATTTCGTTACTTCTCGAGTTTCATTTTGCGTTGAAGCGAAAGTTTCCTTCTTGAATTTATGGAAGAAGAGGGGAATCCCATAGTGGAGTGTATTGGGTGTAGAATGGCATTTCTGATTTCGAGTATAGTTCGTCGAGATGTAAGAAAAGTGTGCACCAGATGGGGCACGACTGCAGAGGCACGGCGGTCCGCTTCTTTGTTCACTGTGTTAAACATGGTCCGAACGGTCAGGTAAAGTTACCTGAGCAATACTAAGCAGGTGGTCCCATTCCCATTCGTCTGATCCTGATGGACTCGGGTAAAGAAAGAGCCTCGTTTTACTTACTGGGCTTCACTAAATCTTTTCACTGTCCAATGAATGATTGCGGTTTTAAATTAAGAAAAACGATATTCAGCCTACCTACATATGTGCACAATTTCCTCAAAGTGATTTCACGTAATATTAGGATATCGTGATGTTAAATCGTTATTCAATTCGATGTCAAATACAGTTACTCCAGAACACATGACAAACTATTTTAAAATATGTGAACTCTGAGATTCGAATATTATACAAAAATTATTATCCCAAAATTACCATATAAAAAAACATAACCATGTAACCAAAACCATAAAAAATTTTCAATTTTAAAATTAAGTTAAAAAAATGTAAGTGCAATTATGGAGGGAAATTTTGTCTGTTTTTTTTAAAATAATTACAAATATCTAAAAGAATATTCAAAAACCTATCGATTGACTTATTATTGATCCTTTTCCGAAAAAATATAGCAAAAATATGGTAAATTAAAAGAATCCGAAAAAGTTCAATCATCAGTCTTTATAAATTATTAAGAACCATTATAATTTATTATTTAAACTATAATAATTATTGAAAAGCATAGTCAGAAACCCAGCCATTGACCTATTTTTGATCCATTTATAACAAAATATTGCAAAAATATAGTCGATTGAAAAAATCAGGAAAAAGTTAAATCAGCAGTTTTTATAAATTATTAAGAACAATTATGATTTATTTTTTGAACTATCATAATTATTGAAAAGCATATTCAGAAACCCATCGATTTGCCTATTTTTTAACCTTTTACGACAAAATATAGGAAAATTATTTTATATTTTAAAAAACAGGAAAAAGAAAGAACTTCAGTTTTCTGAAATTTTTTAAAGTTATTTTTGTTAATTATTTTAAAAATCATATTTTTTAGAAAGAATAACTAAAAGCGTATCGACTGGTCTCTTTTTGAACCTTCTTTAACAATTTACTGCCTAATTTTAGTCAATTGAAAAAATGAGAATAAAATAAAAATATCAGTTTCTTGTAATTTTTGAAAGCAATTTTAGTTTATCTTCAAAATTATTATAATTTCCTTAAAATATATTCAAAAATGCATCGATTGACTTATTTTTGAACGTCTTTTGACAATATACTGCGAAATTTTAGTCAATTGAAAAAAGGAGAAAAAATAAAAATATTAGTTTTTTAAAATTTTCAAAAACAATTTTAGTTTATCTTCAAAATTATTATAATTTCCTTAAAATATATTCAAAAATGCATCGATTGACTTATTTTTGAACGTTTTTTGACAATATACTGCGAAATTTTAGTCAATTGAAAAAAGGAGAAAAAATAAAAATATTAGTTTTTGGAAATTTTTAAAAACAATTTTAGTTTATCTTCGAAACTATTATAATTTCCTTAAAATATATTAAAAAATGCATCGATTGATTTATTTTTGAACCTTTTTGGACAAAGTACGCCGAAATTTCAGTCGATTAAAAAAATGAGAAAAAATAAAAATATTAGTTTTTGGAAATTTTTAAAAACAATTTTAGTTTATCTTTTTAACTATTATAATTTACTTAAAATGTATTTAAAAATGCTTCGATTGATTTATTTTTTAACCTTTTTTGACAAAGTACGCCAAATTTCTAAAGAATTGAAAAATCAGAGAAAATAAAAATATCAGTTTATTGAAATTATCAAAAGCAATTGTACTTTATCTTTTGAATTATTATAATTTACTTAAAGTATATTTTAAAGCGCATCGACTGATCTACTTGCAAACTTTTTTCGTCGATGTACTGCAAAATTATAGTGAATGTAAAAAATCAGATATGTAAGAAGTAAAAGCATCAGTTTCTTGGAGTTATTAAAAGAAACTTTTGTCTATATTTTTAACTATCATATTTATTTTATTTTTTATCAACATTTTTAAAGTTAGGAATAGTCTTTTTTTTGCTATTTTATATATTCTTATCTAACTTTTCATTACTTCTCATTATATATTCAACATTTTTTCTTACCTACTTTATTATAAAGTTATTTTGCGTTCATTATTTTACAAAATTATTAAAATTTTATGCCTCTCGTAAATTTTATGTCAAACTGTTTACGTACTTTTTAATTAAAATATGTGAGAATTTATAAATATTTTGTGACGTAATTAAGGATTTCACTGTGAGGAAAATTTTTTTCTTCTTCAGACAAAAAAAAATTTTACAACACATTGTAAATTTTAATGATGAACTTCCTTTGAGCCAAAAAATTTTTTTATTTAAGTACTATTAAAGTTAAAATTAAAAAAAATAAATAAAATAGGCTGTTATCTCTTTATCGTCACAGGAATATTATGACATTTTTCAAGGTCCTAAAACTCGAGTCCTTGAGTAAATTTAGTGTATCGAAAAAGGGTCCTACTAAAAATTTTTTCCACTCATTGAAAAAAAGGTCTAAATGGACCTCTGTAGAAGGACACACACAAAACTTGACAACAAACCTGTAATCGTATTTTTCGCAAGAGCATAACATCTTTTAAAACTTCCTGTCCATTGAAAATATTTTGACTAACTTTACAAGCGTTTGACAAAAAAAAGAGAAAAGAAAATGCCGAACGAAAAGAAATTCTTTGTCAACAATAAATACACAATAAGAGGCAGCAAATTGCTTCAAGAGAGTTCCTTTTTTTCTCCTCAAAACTAAAAATTCTTCGAACTAAAATTATCTAATAGTAATATAACTTGTTTTTCCTAGAATTT